GCCCGCCCACCCAAGAGGAAACCCCGAGAAGCGAAAATGAACACTCACATTGAGCTTGCAGCGCTGCAATTCACGCCTCATACTCCCTGACCTTTGCCCTGCTCGCGGCAGGGGCCGACTCCACCTGCTGGTAGCGCTCGGCCTCCTCCGCAAACCGCTCCGTGTAGTGCTCCTCTAGCTCCCAATATGCCTCCGCCGTCTCGGCAGCGCGGACATACAGCTCATTGTCTGCCATCGTCCTGGGCGAGCTGGTGGCCCGCGCCTGCTTTGATTGCAGGGATGGCTCGCCGCGGCTGGACAACTGGCGGCCGCGACCCGCCCCAGGAGAGTCGTCGTTGGTGGGAGTCAGCGGAGACAAGAGGCCCGCGCGTGCGCGTGAGGCACCCACGCGCTCCAGCTGCGCCGCCCAGTCGTTGACATCGTCGCCCGAGCTTGTCCGAGGTAGAATCGAGCCAGTGATCACACTAGAGCGACAGCAAACGAGTCAGATTCATAAGTAGCGAGATACAACGCATAACTACGCACCTAGAGCGACAGCAAACGAGTCAGGAAGAGAAAAGACTCGGATGCGCCGCTCTAGGCAGGAGGGCACGGCAAATGCCGAGGAAATATGTGGCGCTCGGCAATAAGGCGCGAGCGCATAAGTAAGACTGTAGGTAAGCGTACAGTACCGGGAAAAAGTCCGAAAAATCACAGAAAAATACCATAGGCGCTAGAGAGCGCGTAGACACCAATTCCAACACACCCCCTTGATCGAGCACGTCCTAGCGCCCAACTCCAAGGCCAGAGAGCGTTGCCATGTGCTGCAGTTTGACCCGGCCTAAGGCCTTGGTCATCATGTCAGCCGGCATGTCCGCTGTCTGCAGATGGACAAGGCGGACGCTGCCGCGATGCACCTCATCGCGCAGCCAGTAGAAGCGCAGGTCCAGGTGCTTCATGCGCCCGTGATGCTCCGGGTTCTTGGCCACCTGCAGCGCCGAGTTGTTGTCAATGTAGAGGGTGGAGGGTGCGCTCTTGACCGAGTAGCCACACTCGGTCAGGAAGTTGCGCATCCACAGGATCTCCTGGCCGGCAGAGCACGCCGCAACGTACTCTGCCTCAGTGGTCGAAAGCGCGACTATAGTCTGCAGCTTGGACGACCAGGAGACCGCTCCACCCGCCATCATGACGATCTGGCCGCTGGTAGACCGACCGTTGTCCGGGTTACCGCCGTGGTCCGCGTCGGTGTAGGTGTAGAAGAGCTCGGAGCGCGCGTTCATTGTCTTGCCGTCATAGGTCAGCTTGTAGTCAAGCGTGCCCTTGAGGTAGCGGAAGAGGTGGGTCAGTGCGCGCCAGTGCGAGCGGCCGGGGTTGCCGGTGAAGCGAGCGAGGACTGAGACCGGGTAGGCGAGGTCGGGACGAGTGGCGAGGGCGAGCCAGGCAATGGCGCCGACGGCAGAGGCATACTCCTTAGCGCGGGTGGACATGAACTCGACGTCCTCCGGCGTGACAGGAGCATCGGCGGCGCTGAGCTTGTGCGAGGGGTCGAGCGGGGTGGTGACCGGGTGGCAGTCGGCCATGCCAAACCGCTCTAGGACGTCCACGGCATACTGGCGCTGCGAAAGAGACAGCGTGCGCTGGCTGCGCTCGCGCTCAATGGCAACGCCCAGCAGCCAGGTGGTAGGACCCAACTCGCGCAGCTTGAAGTGCTTCTTCAGCTCGCCAATGATACCGAGCGCCTGCGCGTCAGTCTTGCACCCAATCGTCATGTCGTCCACAAAGACGGGCACGAGGATGCGCGCGTCGCCGCGACCGTACACCCACACGCTGTGGTCGCAGAGGATGCGCGTGAAGCCCATCTCTACAAGCACCCTGTTCAGCGTCTCGTGCCAGACATGACTCGCCTGCTTCAGCCCATAGAGCGACTTCTTCAAGCGCCAGACATAGTCCTTGTCAGGATCAATGCCGAGCTTGAAGCCGGGCGGTTGGCGCATGTAGATCTCCTCGGCCAGGTCGCCATTCAAGAACGCGTTGCTGATGTCGATGGAGTAGAGGACGAGGTCGTCCATGGCGGCGAGGGCGAGGATAGCGCGGATGGCGGCCCACTTGGGCGTAGGGGCGAACGTCTCGGTGTACTCGAAGCCGGGGCGCTGCGAGAAGCGCTGCGCAACGCAGCGCGCCTTGTACCGCTCGATAGACCCATCAGCATTGCGCTTGACCTTGAACACCCACCGGCTGCCAATAGCGCGCTTGCCGGGCGGCAGCTCGACCACCTCGAACGTGCCGTTGTCCACCAGCGCCTGCACCTCGTCAAACGCAGCCTCGATCCACTTGGCCTTGTCGGGACGTAGCAGCGCCTCTGCAAACGTCTTGGGCTCGCCCTGCTGCGCGTCGGACGCGACCGTGGTCGAGAGGGCGTAGTTGAGGGCTTGTTCAACCGACCAGTCCTCCTCAGTGATGCCGCTGAAGACGTAGTCGAGGCCGGCCTGCATAACGTGCGCTCCTGGGATAGGCGTGCTGTCAGTCAAAGCGAGCTCATCATCACTCCCAGCCCAATCCATCATCTCCTTCCTTGCCTGCTCTCTGTCCTGCGCCTCCTCATCCTGCGCCTGCTCCCTGCACTCCTCCTGCTCCTCCTCCTCCTCATCCACCTCCTCAATCTGGCCGGATAACGGCGCAAACCGGTTAGGGGACGTCACCTGCGGCTGCGGCGCGGGTGTAGACGATGTAGCGCGGCCTGTAGAAGGCGGCGCAGGCTGCTTTTGCCAAGCGCGAGTCGTCAATTCGCGCTCGGATAAGCTATGGGTCGGCTTGGTTGCCCGAGGCAGACGCGACGGTGGCGGTCCGCTCGAGGTAGACGGCCGAACTGTCTCCCAAGCAGGGGACGGACTGCGCTCAGGGCGCGGCGCTGGCTGCTGCTCCTGCGCGCGCTCCTGCCTGCCTCTCAGCGCGGCCTTGCTAGGCGGCGCAGTGCGGGACGGGCGGGGCGCAGATTGTTGGAGTTGGTGTGCTTGGACCGGCCCAAAGGGGATATTTACCTATAGTCACGTATCACGCTGTCACTTAGCCTTGTCTCTGACCGTCATCTGTGGTCTGTTGTTTGTGTCTGCGCCCTCCCATCTCAACAGGTTATGAGCCCCGCGCTCTAGTCTTTACCCAAAAACCCCCCAGACCTCTCAGAACTCGCTTTTTCCTCCAGAAAAACCCATTCTCTCATTCTCAAAAAATTTTCACTTGATCGATCGGTCTTATCTGCACCATCCACCACTCATCATGTCTTCCCTCCCCTCCTATGCTGTCACTATCTTCCAGCAGTCGGAGAAGCTGCGAGGCGAGGCCAACTGGCACTCGTTTGCAGAGGCTTTCATCGACTTCTGCACTGGCGTTGGTGCTGACCACATTGTGGATGACTCTTCGCTCGATTCGTCCAAGAAAGCACTGGACAACGCCATCGGGTATGTCCTCTCTGGGATGCTGGAGAAGGATGTGAAGGATGGGGTGCCAGGGAAACGTGGTGGCCAGGCGCTGTACAAGGCGCTGAAGGCGAAGTACACTGCCTCGACCAGGGCCCGGCGCGTTGCTGCACGCAAAGCGTTTTACCAGTGCTCTCATGACTTCCCCACCCAGTCGCTTGAGCAGTTCATCGTCGAGGTGAGGGCCAAGGCGCAGGTCCTGAAGGATATGGGTATCACCATCTCGGACACCGAGATTCTGGACGTCATCCTCATGAACGTCCACCATGCCTTCATCGCCACTACCACCATCCTCCTCGCGCAGACCACCGAGCCCAAGCTCGACGACGCTATCTCCACCCTGACGTCTTCCCCTGCGCTCAACGTTGACGTCGTCAAGAAGGAGGAGTACTCTCCCAGCCCGCTGCTGGCCGCAAATGCGGCACGAGGGTCGCGTGCACCGCGGCATCCTGATGGTCATCAGGCTGACCTGACTGGAGGATGGGTGGACGACAAGGGCTACCGCTGGTGCAACGTCAATGGTGACGCCTGCCATCGGTGCGGGCGTGCAGGTCATATCGCCGCCTTCTGCATGTACAACATGCCCGAGGCCATCCGGCAGAAGATTTCGGACCGCGCGCATCTCAACGCGAACATGGTCAGTTCGCTCGCGGTCATGGAGGCAGAGGGCGAACACCAGCACCTCGCCCAGTCGGCTTATGGTGTGTACACTATCCCAGCTCGTCGCTCGCCCTCCCCCGCTGCCTCTCGCTCGCCATCTCCACCGCTGCCATCTGCCGATGACGCCGACGATGATGCCTTCGACTTTTCCGGTGCCGGTGGATCGTGGGGAGGAGTCTCTAGGCTGTACACGTGATGGTAGGATTTGGCTGGTTAGGTGGGAGTTGCTGGATTAGGTGGGAGTCTCTCTGCGGTCTGGCGCACAGGTGGGAGTGTTGGAGTTGGTGTGCTTGGACCGGCCCAAAGGGGATATTTACCTATAGTCACGTATCACGCTGTCACTTAGCCTTGTCTCTGACCGTCATCTGTGGTCTGTTGTTTGTGTCTGCGCCCTCCCATCTCAACACAGATGGCGGCGGCGGACGCGCACTAGGCGGCGTGGTAGGCTCAGCTGGCTGCTGAAGCGGCGTGGATGGCTGCTCAGGCGTGGTGGGGGCGCGCGGCGGCGATGTAGGCGGCGGTGTCTGTAGCTGCGGACCAGCGGGAGCGGGCTGTCCGGACGGGGGAGGTGGCTGATCATCATAAGAGACGACATCATCGTCATCCGCGCTATGACGATGACTAGGAGGCGACGGCACATCACCCCCTTGATCAGCAAAATCCCCAAAGTCCGGAGGGCCTTCACCTCGGTCTATAATTGCCGCAGTGATGAGATTGAGGCTCTTGAGCGACGTCCCCGGCATGTAGCGCTCATCAAACACCGCATGCGACGAAATGACCGTCTTCTTGGTGGCCGGGTTGTAGAACAACCAGGCCTTGGTCCCGGGAGGGTACCCCAAGAAGATGCACTTCTGCGAGTGCGGCTCGAGCGCGCGCCGGTGCTTGTCCTTCACCACTGGCAGGACCTATGTAACTACACAGTCCAGCCCGTATGGGCTCCGTGTTCCTACATCTGCCATAGAACGGCTGGCTACAAAGTGCTGAGTTTGTAGCTACACACTGTAGCTACATTTGCCAGGGCCCTTCGTAGGGGTCCTGGCCTACTGTTGCTCGTCGTCGTCGCCTCGGCAAATGCCGGGTCGCGCTCATCGTTGCCCGCCCTCCGCCTGCTATCGCCCCGACGCGCGCTCCTCACTGTCGCGACACGTGCCCGCACCGCTCGCCATCCCGCCGCCTCGGCCCGCCCCGCCACCTCCGCCTCGCGCTCGAGTACTTTCCCACGCTTCCTCGCCGCGTCGCTGCTCGCCGTACGACGCGCCTCGTGGCGCGCGCCATCGCCGGGTCGAACGCTTGCGCCTTGGCAAATGCCGAGACGCGTGACCCGTCGCTCGAATCGCTGCCGCAGCGCCGACCGTCGAGCTGCGCGTTCCCGGCGAATGCCGGGCACGCTCGCGCGCTCGTCGGGTGCGCGGACGCCGTCGACGCGCGATTGCGCCGCGTGCGCGCTCACACGTCAGCACAGGCGCGTAACCGGCAAATGCCGGAACGGGCCGGCGGTCCGCGCGCGCCCTCGCCGCTGCCGCGCGCTTCCTCACGCCGCGCCGGCGCATGCTACTACAGCATGACCGGCATGCCAGCATGTATGCCCATCACCGCTCACGCGCACGGACATCATGAACGGCACGGGTGAGCGGCGAGGTAGGGTGTGCAACGTGGACACGCCGCGCTGACGCTGACATGGTCGCCATGTTGCCATGGCGACCACGTCAGCAGCGCGGCCGAGGCGCGAGCGACGACGGCGGTGGGGGCTTTGGAGTATGGGGTATGGTGGGTGAGGGCTCTTGAGGGCGTCCGGGGCGTGGGGAGTGGACCGGGACCGTGGCGCTGTTCAGCGCGCGGTGGCCATGGAGGCGGCTGAAAAGCGGCGAGGCGAGGTGAGGAGGGCAGGCGCATGCTACTCGCGTCCAGCTCGACGCAAGCCAGCCGCGCCCGCAGCGGTCGACGGGGTCGACGATGGAGATGGTGGTGGTCGAGGGCAAGGATGGATATCGGCTGCGGACGGAATTCACGTCCCGCGGCACGTGCCTCGGCAAATGCTGACAACGCACCTCCTCGCGCTCGCGCAACCCATCTTTTGTTCATTTGCGTGAGCTACGTAGATCTAAAACAAATAATATGGCTTGAAGATACTATTGTATGCGCTTGCTAGTTTTAGTGCTATATAAACACCTGTAGAGCAGCATATATCCAAAGTTTATAGTTTTGAGCGTGTGATTCAACATCTGTGAGAGCGTTACAAGGGCTCCATAGTACGGGATTGCCATAAATTTACGCGGGATGTGTCCGATATAAATGTATTCACGGAGCCGTGTACCGAAACCCGCAGGGGGACCCTTGCTATGTAGCTAAATCTCAGCCACTCGTGATGAGCTTCATGATATCAGCTGCATTGATTCCTCGGTTACCATGTCCACAAGCCCTCCTTTGAGCACATGATTGCGTAGAAGCACACTTCAGGCGACATCAACTATGTACCTGACTTCCCGCACGGACTTGGAGGTCACAGGCTGCTCGAACGGCACCACAGCAGCACTGCAGCACAAGTGCAATAGATTTGCTCTGAATCAGTGTGAGCAACGTGATTCTGAGTTATTCTATGCACAGACTTCATGGTATGAGGCTGAGAGCCACCATTTTTCGGGCCGCTATAAACGTCTCTTGGATTGTTTCGGCGGTGCCGTACGTTGCAGCAGCTATAAACATTGACAACGACCAAGATGAGCTTGAGCCGGCCCTCGGTCCGACTGACGCGATGCGGCAACGCTCAAGTCGTGGTGAACCGTGCTGTCCATGGCTTTTGGAGACGCAAGGGGATCTTCCTCCAGATGATCATCTTCCTTCGCGTTGCATATACATACCCAGCCACGAAGGAAATCATATAAAAGTCGCATATATACCCTTATATCTCAATTTTTCGTGACAGTGTTCATTATTATGGCCTGTTGATCGCCTATAAATCATACACTATACACCACACACATTTTTCATTATTGATGGGCTCTTCAGCCTCACAGACACTCGCAGACACTCGCAAAGACGGTCTCGCCACCAGCAGGGCGAAAGCCGGCTGGACGCGCCGAACCTCCGTGGTCACGTGACCCGGCGGAACACATCCGCCCGCAGCCGCGATCGATGCGCGTCGCCCGGCAGGCCGCGCGCCCTTCTCATCTCAACCCGGGCGCCACCGACGACGACACCCCTCCACCACGCGCTCAACAGCGCGTCACCGGGTGCGATCGGAAGGGCCGGCCCTCGCGCATTGCCCGCCCCTACCACCTCCTCCACCACCTCTCCTCCCTTCCCGCAGATGACGCATCCCTCTACGCGTCGCCTTCGCTCCTGCCCTGCGGCGTGACGCGTCCGCCCACCCGCACAGCATGGTTGCTAGGTGACGTGGCGATGCCACGTCACCGAGCGTATCGCGTGCGTGGGCCGAGGGACGGTCGTCTGCGATGCGATGCGCCGGGCCAGCCAGCACGGCAGTGACCAGTGCTGGCGGCGGGAGAACATGCGGCAACGACGCTCGCCCGCGCGCGGCAGCGGCGAGGGCGCGCGCGGACCGCCGGCCCGTTCCGGCATTTGCCGGTTACGCGCCTGTGCTGACGCGTGAGCGCGCACGCGGCGCAATCGCGCGTCGACGGCGTCCGCGCACCCGACGAGCGCGCGAGCGTGCCCGGCATTCGCCGGGAACGCGCAGCTCGACGGTCGGCGCTGCGGCAGCGATTCGAGCGACGGGTCACGCGACCCGGCATTTGCCGAGGCGACGACGACGAGCAACAGTAGGCCAGGACCCCTACGAAGGGCCCTGGCAAATGTAGCTACAGTGTGTAGCTACAAACTCAGCACTTTGTAGCCAGCCGTTCTATGGCAGATGTAGGAACACGGAGCCCATACGGGCTGGACTGTGTAGTTACATAGGTCCTGCCAGTGGTGCACTCGGGCGTGTACCCGGCGCGGTTGGCTGCGAGGGGGTGCTGTCCGCCGTCATCCGGTGTGAGGCGAACTCGCGCGCGATCATGTCCTTCACCGTCTCGTAGGTGAGCGCCTTGTCGAGCAGGAGGGAGGTGTACATGTTGGCGTGCTGCGGGTTGGGGGAGGCGGCGAGCGCGCGCATGGTGACCATCGCCTTCAGCTCGAGGTCCATCTTGTCGATGTCGTAGCCGGTAGAGGGGCGCAGGGACTGGACGCGCGTCATGGCCTCGTCAACGCGCGAGAGGAGGTCGGTGAGGGCGGTGGTGGCCTCGGCGTCGTCACCCAGGTTGACGTCGAAGAAGTCACAGAGCGCGGCAAAGCGCGTGCCGGCCTCCTGGATGTTGAAGGCGGGCCTTCATCGTGTCGTACAGGTCCTTGGGCGTGCTGCGCTTGTCCTTGAACTGCGGACGAAGCGGCTCCTCCATGGCAAGCCAGAGCTCACCAGCAGCCTTCTCCAAGCGCTGCTCATACTCCTCCAGGGTGCGGTACTCCGCATCAGTAACCGCGCTGGCGTCCTTGGGCTTGGGCTTGGTGACAGCGCCCTTGGCATAGCGCCAGAGGCCCTTGCTGGACAGCCAGGGCTGGATCTCGCTGTCCCACCAGCTCCAGTTGAAGCGGGTGAGGATGGGGCGGCCGTCTGAGTCACGCTTCGACATGGCGCAAAGAGACGATTGTTGGGGACGATCGAACCGGCGAAAATGGACGAGAGTGGGGTCGACGTGTAGGGGAGAAGGGCGCGGAGTGACTAGAAGTTGTTTGGAGAGGAACGGACGCGAACTGCGTGCGCGACGGCGAATATGAGGGAGGGTGTAAATTTGCGGTGATCGGAGGTGCTGGACTTCGCACGGCGATAGCGGCGGTACTGGCGATTTTCGCGGAGCGCGGCTCGGGCACAAGGTAGAGGAGGGTCTTGCGCGTCGAATGCCGCTCGAGCGGAGGGAATCGCAGCTGGTACGCGCGCACAGCGGCGAGTTTGAGTCGGGGTGTGGAACTGGCTGGTTGGGGCAGCTAGAGCGCGGGGCTCATAACCTGTCCGAGGCAGAATCGAGCCAGTGATCACACTAGACCGACAGCAAACGAGTCAGGTGTATATTCATCAGTACAGAACGCATAACTACGCACCTAGAGCGACAGCAAACGAGTCAGGAAGAGAAAAGACTCGGATGTGCCGCTCTAGGCAGGAGGGACCGGCAAATGCCGAGGAAATATGTAGCGCTCGGCAATAAGGCGCGAGCGCATAAGCAAGACTGTAGGTAAGCGTACAGTACCGGGAAAAAGTCCGTAAAATCGCAGAAAAATACCATAGGCGCTAGAGAGCGCGTAGACACCGATTCCAACAACCATCACATGGCAAAAGGCTCAGGGATATTTCAAGGCATCAGGGTACAACTTCTAGCTACAGAAATCTAGTAACCGTCATCATTGGGTGTACCAGCTTCTCCCGCAAACACAGGCTTGAACCCATCAGGAATAAGTTCGAATTCACCTGTTGCCTCGTTGCGGTACTCGACAATGCGCATCGGATCTCCTGCGTTCCAGTCGTTGAAAGGATCGGCGCGCGCAAGCATGGGCCCATACGTGCAGCAGGAGCCTTCCTTGTCGGACCACGTAATGTGGTATGCGACATTCTTGTCAGGATCTCCCTGAAGCGATCCCAGCCTTGGATGGCCAGTACGGCTCCATCCCGCATCGGGATTAGTCTCCGCGCACGCGCGCTTTGCTTGGGCATCATCCTGAGCATCGGGACTAGCCCACCACTGCTCGGCAAGCTCCTTCACGTGAATCTTGTCCCGGAAGGGTATGCCAACCAACTTCTCATTGGGGACCTTGGGCAGGATATCAGGGCCAACGTGGTCGACAGTTTCACGAGCTAAAAGAGCGCAGGACGCGCAAGACCTCAGTCTTCCTGCTAGGGAGATAGCGACTGAGGGAAGTTGGGAATGAGGCGCCACGTCGCCTGTATCTACAAATAGGGGCACCTTTTGTGGCGCGTCACTGGAAAGAAGGCAGACTCGCCCTCCTACGCACCACTTTTGACAGACAGCAAGGCCGTGCTTGTAGTCAAGCGCCTGCGGGATCCTGTGATCAGTGCAATAAGCGAGAAAACGGCGCAGCTTCAATGGCGTATTGATGGGCAGAGCTGGCTTGGGCTTGACCGGTGTAGCCGGAGTGGGTGGAAGGACGATCTGGGCAGCACCTGCAAGCCCAAGTCTACACCCCCCCACGGAAAAAATTTGCGGTCTGGCTCTTGATTCCTTCTCCGTTCGTAGAGCCAAGGTCATGACCCCGAAGAGGCTTGCTACACAAATAGGTAGTACACCTATGAACGTACCTCGCGACAGGGCCCGTGTCAGTGAAGGGCTCAAGATGCGTGGGAAAACCCGTCCTTCTCGGGAGCCCCGATTTCGTCGAGCCGTATCGAGCCAAGAAATAAGTGCATCACCTCCCCAAGGACTGGAGTAGATAGATGGGTACGATGTGATGGTGTAGTTGGTACTCATAGATATCTCTGATCAGGAATGACCGCATTATGATGGCAGGAACAAAAACCTACTTTTTCTCGATTTATCCATTCCTCAATACAGGGATGGCTATAAAAAGCGTGTAATCTATAGGACTGTACTATAAGCATATAGACTACACGCTAAGAGCTGGGATATCTGATACTGGGGCCTCTCAATGAGCGAGGACTACTTCATGACACCGACCAGAAAAATCCGAGGTGGCATGAAAAGCCATGCAAAAGATTATTACAGGTGTCAGCATACAGGTGGATTGTGGAATTCACAAGAAGAGTAAATGAGCTCTTGAACGAGCGTGATCACAATGGCTGACATTCGCTCATTGTAGCCACCGGCGATGAAAGTCGAACCGTGGGAGAAAACACACGTGTCACTTTTGATCATCACGTGTGGCGTCCCCCTTGCGATGCCGCTGTACAGTATACGTCGCGTGGGATAGGGCCGAAGGGGAACTACCCTCACACCCAACAGGCCACCAACTCACTCAATATACTGAGGCAGAATATCTATCGAAATTTGGGTCAAGGGTCCCCGACTGGGCCGCAAATTTTTTCCGCGGGGGGATGTACCAGCCAGACCGCCAAGCAACGTCAGAGTCTGTAACGCCTCCAACTGAGCGTGCTGACGAGCAACAGTCAGCGGCCGGGCAGCAAGCTGCGCGGCTGCCTCCTGCCGCTCCGCCTCCTCGCGGTCTGGGTCCAGAGAAGGCCGTATCTTCTTGTACCATGACTGGAGGAGCGTGTCCGATGGCCGGTACAGTGTTGCCCAGTCATTGTTCTAAGAGACAAAGTCAATAACGTAAATATTACATCATAGCACCACGTACAATCTCCGTCGCCCAGTCCTTGAGCATCTGGGGAGTAAGCACAAAGGCCTCCCCGCCCCCCTTCGCATCGATGAACGTGCAGCCCATGTCATGAGGGTTCAGATACTTTGCGCAAAGGGCTTCGGCCTTGCTGGTCACCGCGTCAGTCTTGGCACCCACCTTGTCCTAATGCCAATGAGCAATCGCTAAGAGTCTGGACGGCCACACTTAGCGGCTGAGCGCTAAGTGTTGAGAAATAATAAACTAGGCGCCGGGGAGCGCCCGGCCCCACCGGGTCCCACCAGATCCCGAAGAAACGTGATCGAGTGATGTTCGGAGATGTCCGTTGTGGACTTGTTGTCACATCGGTCGAACCCGTGTCACACAGTGCTGTCACACGATTCCCGCCCCCTCGCGCACCCGTGTTCTTTGCTCTATGCCTCCGAACGACCCTCGCACGGTACCTGCGGTCATTGCAGCGTGGTACATGCAGATGGTGGCGATGATAACAGCTCTGTTCACCTCTGATTGGTACTACAATCAACCATATCACACTTCGGCACTGACCGGTGCAGCCTGGGTGAAAGAGCTACTGACAGGTCATCCTGATCGCATACGCAATGAGCTCGGGATGAGGCTGGAAGTATTCATCGAGTTCGTCTATGAACTGCGTCGTACTTGTGGCCTGCAGGATTCCCGCTATGGCATCACCGTTGAAGAGCAGGCTGCTATATTCCTGTATATGATGGTGACTGGATTGAATACGCGCCACACTGGAGAGCGTTTCCAGCACTCCCATACTACGATTTCCTAGTAGGCTCAGCTGTGCTTGACCGTTTGGCTGCGTGCTGACTACCACAAAGCTACTTCTGCATTGTCCTCGATGCCGTATCCTCACCCCCGTTCTACACGAAGCACGTGCAGCTGCCAAAGGATGGGGACCAGCCACACAGCTACCTACACGACAATCCGAATTTCTGGCCTTTTTTTGAGGGCTGCGACAGCGCTGTAGATGGCAGCCACATCGCCTCTGCACCAACGGCCAGGGAGAGACACAGCCACCGTGATCGGAAAGGAACAATTTCGCAGAATGTCCTTGCATGCACATCCTTCGACTTCAGGTTTGTCTACATTATGAGTGGGTGGGAAGGTGCTGCCGCTGACTCCTCGATGTACAACGAAGCTCGATTTCGCGACCTACCTGTGCGGAATGGCCATTACTACCTGGCTGATGCTGGGTTCGGGTTTTGTGACTCGCTTCTCATACCTTATTGAGAAACTCGGTACCACCTCCATGAATGGGGCCGTGTTGGTCAAAGGTACATGATTTCCTCCTTCCTACATGCATGAGCTCATGGTACTCAGGCCCGAGAACAAGGAAGAGCTCTTCAATCTTCGCCAAGCGCAGGCCTGAAACATCGTCGAACATATCTTTGGCGTCATCAAGAAACGCTTTGCTGTCCTGACTCGCCCGGTCAAGTTCAGCCTTGACTGGCAAGCACTTATACCAGCAGCCGCCGCAGCACTTCATAACTTCATCATGAAGTGGGACCCATCGGATTTGGACAGGATCTTTCGGGAAGCGGAGGCCGAAGGCGACAGCCTCGAAGACGAGCAGCCAGGGATAGAGGCTGGGAATGAAGAACATGGTCGTCTGGCGGATCGACGCACTTCGCGGGCAGACGTGCTAAGTGTGACCACATTGCGCAAGACATGTGGGATGGGTATATTGCAGAGCTGAGGGCGCGAGGGGACCACGCGTATCTTGAATATCTTCGCACCCAATGTGACCAGAATGTTTGAAGGACACCAACATGATTACTAGTATTAAAAGAGTGTGACCTACAAGTACCTAAAGCAACGAACGATGTCTACTATAAGCTATTTAGAAGTCAGAAGAAAACATATTGGAAATCACATCCTTCTCCGGAGGGCTCCAGTACGAGTGCTCCTGAAGCTTGAGCTTGACATATGCCTTACGTGACTCCTCCCCCTTCTTCCCCATGTAGGTGTCCATAGCCGGAGTGTCCTTCTCGAGGATCATCGAGAAAAAGGCCTGCGCCTCGGCCGTCATCCAATCCTCCTCCTCGACACATGCTGCACAGTCACGACGACAAACGGGGGTGGGGGGCAGGCCAGATGACGGGGGCGGCCCAAACGAGTCGCGGAAGGTGGTGTTGAAGGCGCTGAGCTGGTCGACCATCCCCTGCATCACGGTGACGCTGGGAGGGACGCGGGACGTGCGCTTGAGGGCCGAGGAGGCCGACGCGGGCTGGCGGCGCTTCGAAGAGGTGGTGGCCGCGGCGGCAGTGGAGCCATGCGTGGCGGCCGATGACGAGGGCTTGGGGGCAGTGTTGTGTGACGATGAGGTCGTGGTATTGACGTTCTAAGCGGGGTGTTAGCGGTGTACTGACAGCGTGAACATACTGCGTACCTGCGAGCCCAAAAGCTTGTGGCGATCAGACTCAATGATCACGAACCCATCATCCTCCTCCTCGCCCATCGCCTGCGGCAGCTCCTTCTCCTCCTCCTCCTCCTCCATCGTGGCGTCGGCATCCGCATCCGCGTCCTGCGAGGGCTGATCGTCGCCCAAGCTCGCACCCTGTTGACATTGATCAGATCGATCGCAGCAAAAGACGGCAAAAAAAACGCACCTGGGAAGGCGTGAAGACGTGAGCGCCCGGGACGGTGGTGGGAATGATCTTATCTACCTCGTCAAACCACGGATACCTCTTGTGCGCGCGTATGGCTTGCACTCGGGGTGGCGAGCCGTGAACTCGGTCCATGAATCTTGAGTATCCGCGTTCACGCCGGCGCCCTGCTCTTCATCGTATGCCCCCCAGCCCGACGGCGACTGGATAAGCTTGATCGCCTTGTACTGCGCGCGGTGCTAGGGATACGGGAAAAGAATTTTATCAGCGCCGCGCACGCTAGCGAGATGAAAAAGAGGCCAACGCACCCAGTTCCACTTGTTCTTCAAAGAAGTGGCAGACTTCGGGGCCCCTCGCGTCCTGTACTGCTCCATGTATGGCACCATCGAGTGCCAGAACACCTTCTTGAAGTTGCCGCCATCGCCGGCCTCTCCCTTATGATCACGAAGGTACTTGATGAACTTATCGTTGTCATTGCGGGTGAAGCTGGACTGCGAGGTGGCAGGCATGCTGGGCAACGGCCCCTATGGGCAGTGGTGCACGAAAAAGCGAAAGACAAGGGACTGTGGACTGAGCGCGGCCTGTTAGTTCGACTTGTCACAAACTGGTGTGACAGTTCACCGCCGTCGGATACTTCCGTCGGCCAACATCACAGCTGTAATCACGCGCGATCATGTTTCTTCGGGATCTGGTTCGACCCGGTGGGGCCGGACGCTCCCCGGTGCCTAGTTTATTATTTCTCAACACTTAGCGCTCAGCCGCTAAGTGTGGCCGTCCAGACTCTGAAGAGAGAGTCAAAATATGACATACCACATCCACGTCATCTTCCGAGTCTGCATTGCTGTCATCCGACGTATTAGTGTTGTTTTTGCGGACCTTTCAGGGAGATCAGCCACTTGGAATGCAAGGATAGAGGTGTTTCCCATACCTTCTTCAACTTCTTCTCAAGGTCATGCATATTGATGAACGCGGAAATGGTGGGAACACTTCACACAACGTTGTTTGGGGGATAGGCCTGCTCGTTGATCTTGTCCACGAACAAGTCATACTCTGTGACATCCTCCAGGCTGATTGCACACGCTTCACTATGAAAAGAATGCTGAGATGGTATGAACCTCGGCGATGATGCTTGATACGCACGCGCGAACTCCCGGTGCGCTGAGCTTCAGGATGCAAGGCTTCTCACTGATATTCAGATGCGTGATCTTGAAGACGGCAAGGATCTCCTTGATGAGCTTCATGTGCGCGCTTTCCCCCTTCTCGAAGAGGTGATCAAACTTCTTGTTCTTCGATTCCTTCCTCGGCTTTGCTTTGCTGCCTTTTGCTGGTGGCGCGTACGTATAGAGCTTCACATTGACAGTCACAGTGACCGGCTCTTTGGTAGCATTGTTTTCGGGCGGCTGGGGTCACTGATGGGCACCGATGGACTATAGAGTACAGGAGTAGCAATAAAGAGGATCAAAAGGTCGGTGCACGCGCGGGGACAGCGCGCGGGCGGGTGGTGGCAAGGGGGTCCAGAACTAAAAATAGCGCACCAGGGGTGGGGGGGGAGGGGGGGTCTGAGGAGGCCCTAATTTAAAAGTCAACCCTCCTAGAGTTTTAGTGATGCGTGCCTTTCTGAGCACATATACGGAGTCCATAGGCCTTATTCAACCTATACAAGTATTTTCTCGCTTCTTTTGATTCTTCAGGATTCCCCAACCACCCCAGCGAGGCTTGGCGGCACAGGCACGTGGCCTGGGACATCTGAGCCTGAGGGTACGAGCCACGTGCTTTGATTATTGAACTTTGTCATTTTGTTTAGAAGGGCTTTGAGTGCGATAGCAACGTCAATACATGTATACTCTGACTGAAATTGGAAGAATTAGCGGATTATTGGGGAGGTGGGAGGGCTGAGGCTCCGCGAGCGTCATTTCGGCATATGCCGGCGGTCACGTGCGGGGGGAGGGGGGGAGGGGTAAGGGCCTTAAGCTGAAAGTCGACCCGCGGTCATTTTCTGCAATCCCGGACCCCCCTTGGGTGGTGGAGTTTGCCGGGAGGCGGCCGCCAAACATGTTACGCTGCAGTTCGCTGCGTGCGATTCCGCAAAATAGCGCAAAGCGCTGTAAGTACAGCTTGTGGAGGGACCTCCAGGCGTGAATGAATCAAGGAGTGTGGCTTCAATCGCACGAAGCTCAAGCTCCTCCACTTCAGACCACGGCTGGTTTTCCAGCTCCTCGATTTGTTGGATAGATGTGTCAAAAGTGGTCAGTAGGGCGAGTCTGCCTTCACCCGGAGTCACATGACCAGTCCCAACTCCAGGAATCACTGTGTCACATTCCCAGAGTTGGTGTCACATGATCACATGACTTTTCCCCACGCTTTGCCCCGGTGGCCCCATACATACGCGTGTATTCTTTCCTTCTTTTCCCTCAGTCGCTATCCTATACGCAGGAAGACTGAGGGTATGTCTTTTACTTACTTTACTCTTACTTATACTGACTGTACTTTAGTCTTGCGCTCTCTGCGCTTATTTAGCTCGTGAAAGGTTATGAGCCCTGTGGCCTAAATCGAGCAAGACTTCGATCTGCGACTCACTCTATCCCACTCTGCGCCATGGCTCCCAAGGACAGCAAGGTCCCGACGCTCACCGACGCAGCAGACTGGCCGCTTTGGCGCCTCCGGGTTACCGACGCCCTCAACAGGGACGATCTCACCTCCGTGGTGACTGGGTCAGAGAAATCCCCTCCCCCTGAGATCGCGGTGACTCCACCGACGCCGGCAACGTCCTCTCCCCCCTCCACGTCACCTGGCGCTCCGGCGACCACCACCACATCCACGGGATCGGGCTCCTCCTCCACCACTCACCAAGTTGCGCGGAGGGAGACCTGGTCTTGGCGGAATGCCCGCGCCCTCTCCACCATCCGAGAGCACCTCTCGAACGACATCGCCCTCGAGCTCCACGAGTACCAGCACGCGAGCGAACTCTGGGAGAAACTCGTCGAGAAGTTTGAGCAGACCAACACCAGTGAGATGGCGGTCACCAAACTGATCAAGATCTTCCGCGCGAAGCTCGCCGACGGCGACGATGGAGACGTCTCCCGTGAGGCGATGAGCGCACACATCCACCGCGTCCGGCAGTCGGTCACCCAGCTCGCCACTCTTGGCTACCCCCTCAACGCCAACCTCGTCCCCCTCATCCTCCTCGCCTCCCTTCCCAGCTCAGAGAAGTGGAAGATCGTCTTGTCCGCCATCTCCGCAGGCAGCTCCAAGGCTGCGCCCCTCACCCTCTCCTACGTCGAGGCGAAGCTGATGGCGCAGGTGACTAGCAAGGAGGACTCGGACGACCAGCAGGCATACGCCGCCTCCTCTTCTCGCGCGCCCCCACCGCGCAAGCCCAAGGACAAGGGCAAGAAGAAGGCCAAGGCCAAGACGTCCTGCGTCATCCACGGCGAGGGGCACTCCACCGAGGAGTGCAAGACGATCATTGGGCAGAAGGAGAAGGTGCAGAAGAAGCAGAAGGAGCGGGCGGCGGAGAAGGTGAAGGCGAACAAGGTGAAGGACTCGGACTCGGACTCGGACTCGGACTCAGACTCAGACTCGGATTCAGACGTAGACGACACGCATGTAACCGTCTCGCGCCGTGCCTACAAGAAGATTTCCGCCTATGTCCAGTCTGATCCTGAGCGACCGCAGCGACACCAAGGTTCACACATTGTCGACTCGGGTGCGTCCAAGACCATGACCCCCAACGAGCGCCTCTTCGACGACAGCACTTACCGTGTCCTTGACCCGCCGCGCAACATCTACCTCGGGAATGAGTCCGTCATCAAGGCAGTAGGCATTGGCACCGCCTGCTTCGCCTCTAAGACACCGGATGGTGTGCGCGCGCTGACTATTCGGAAGACACTGCATGTCCCCGACCTCGCGTTGACGCTCATCTCGGTGCCCCAGATCACCAAGCGTGGTCTGCGCGTGTCCTTCAAGGACAACGCCTGTACTATCCGCGACTCCTCCGGCGATATCGCCTGCGTCGCAACGCGGAAACATGGTCTCTACCACGTCGATTGCCAGCCCATCGGCACGGACGAACGCGCCTTCACCGCCATTGACATCAACCGGCTGCACCAGATCATGGGCTATACGAACTTCGAGAGCCTGTGCAACATGGTCCGTCATGGTCAGCTTGGGGAGGTTGACACGCTCACCGCTCACCCGGCGAAAGCTACCATCCGCACGAAGGAGGGGCAGGCGCCTATAGCAGAACCGATGAGGAGCGCTTCACCGGCAAAGAAGGAGGTGATCGACAAGCAAATAGACGTGTGGTTTGAACAGGGCGTTATTGAGCCCTCGATTAGCCCGTGGAGCGCCCCAGTGGTGATTGCCTATCGCAATGGGAAGGCCAGATTTTGCGTGGACTATCGCAAACTGAACGAAGTCACCACCCCGGACGAATTCCCCATCCCGAGACAGTCGGAAATACTGGCGTCGTTATCAGGAGCGCAAGTCCTATCGTCGCTGGACGCGCTGTCAGGCTTCACGCAGCTGGAATTAGACCCCAAGGACGTGGAGAAGACAGCGTTTCGGACTCACCGAGGACTATACCAATTCAAGAGGATGCCGTTCGGACTACGCAACGGACCCTCCATCTTCCAGAGGGTAATGCAATCCGTCCTAGCCCCTTATCTATGGCTGTTCGCCCTCGTCTACATAGACGACATAGTAGTCTACTCCAAATCGTTCGAGGAGCACCTGGATCATCTGGACCAAGTCTTAGGAGCCGTGGAAGAATCGGGCATTACGCTCTCACCATCGAAGTGCCATCTATTCTACGACTCAATCATCCTGCTGGGACACCGGGTGTCACGATTAGGCCTCTCGACGCATCTGGAAAAAGTCAAGGCGGTACTCGAGCTAGCCCGGCCCACGAAAGTGTCGGAACTACGAACCTTCCTCGGCATGACAGTGTACTTCAGTTCCTTCATTCCATACTACGCCAACATCTGCACTCCCCTGCACCGGCTTCTGCGGAAAGACGTACCTTGGGAGTGGGGACCGGAGGAGGAATACGCGTTCCTACAGGCGAAGACCGCTCTACAAAGGGCGCCGGTCCTAGGGCACCCGCAGGAAGGACTGCCCTACCGCCTGTACACGGACGCGTCGGACTACGTGTTGGGCTGCGCTCTTCAGCAAGTGCAAGGCATTAAAGTAAAGGACCTCGCCGGCACTAAGCTGTGCGACAGGCTCGAGGAAGCGTACAAAGCAGGGAAGCCGCCGCCCAGGCTGGTCTCGAAGCTCTCGGACAAGTGCAACGACGCCCGCGTCGCCGAGAAGTGGGCGGACTCGTTCGAGGAAACCGAGGTATTTGTAGAGCGCGTCATCGCATACTGGTCCCAAACGTTCAAAGGGGCGGAGACGCGATACAGCACCACGGAGCGCGAAGCGCTGGCCGCGAAGGGAGCCGTAGCAGGAAATCCAAGGCAAATGTCCATGGCTGCAGCCACTGAGGCCAAATGCATTTGGCATGGCTCTAGCCACTGGTGGCTGCTGCCACTGGCAAATGCATGGCTCCCAATTGCTATATCTGGTAACTTGCAACCTAATTAGGCATTGTCTGAGTCATCACTGACAGATTTGTCAGCAGATGCCATCAGAAACTGCTTAAAAATGTTGCAAATCAAGAGCAAATATAGCAGGGTTTGAACTCCAGACCTTGTACAGTTGGAGTGGTGCTCTAACCAGCTAAGCCATTGGATCTTGTTTAGCTAGCAGACGTGTTGCACTATATCACCCTCCCTTACCCAACCTTTCTAACCTCCCTAACCCTTCCTAACCATCCCCACTCTGAATGAGCCCTATGGGCAAACCCTAACCTCTAACCAACGAGACAACGAGACAGATATGACGTCCCTGGCCCTAACCCTAACCCTAACCCAAAACCCTAACCCTGAACCCTAACCAAACCCTAACCTTCTAACCTCCCTAACCTTCCTAACCCTCCTAACCTCAAACCCTAACCTCTAACCAACCTAAACCAACCCCTAACCCTCCTAACATATCCTTCTTCAACTTGAAAATTTCTGATCAAAGTCCGAGATTTTGTGTTTTTGCAGTGGCACCAGCCACCAGTGGCTAGAGCCATGCCAAATGCATTTGGCCTCAGTGGCTGCAGCCATGGACATTTGCCTTGGATTTCCTGCTACGGCTCGCGAAGGAAGGGCTCGTCAAATTCCAGCCGTACATCGAGGGCGAAAAGATCCTGCTGGTGACCGACCACAGCGCGCTGCAGTGGGCGAAGACGTACGAGAACCATAACCGGCGTCTAGCCTCATGGGGCGCCGTGTACTCTGCGTATAGGCCAGGTCTAGAGATTATACATCGACCCGGCCGCGTTCATTCGAACGTGGACCCGCTAAGCCGAATACCACGCGCGCCGCCACCACACACATCTCCAGCCCGGCATGAAGGACCTGCCCTGTCCACGGACGAGGCGGCGGCACAGTTGAGGGAGGAGGCAGCGATGAGAGCCCCCGCCGCGCGGATGTTCGAGACCGCACACCTGGTGGACTGCCTGCAAGATCTGCCAAGCGCCTATGCGGCAACAACTCGAGCGGCAGCTCGTCGCCCAGCTCGCGGGGGGGCGGAGGAAGGGAAAGAGAACCCGCTCCCGAAAGAGGCCAGCGAAGAGAAGGCGAGAGCAGCGCAAGAGAGCAAGAGCGAGCACGAGCTAGACAACGAGCCAGGACGCGAGGATGAGGAGTCGAGCGACGAGGAGGACTTCAAGCCAGGCGAAGGCTATGAAGGGGTATTCGAGAGGCAACCCGCAATATTGATCAGAATGGCGCCGGAAGAGGCGAAGGAGTTCGCGGACGCCTACCAGAAGGAACCGTACTGGGAACAGAGATGGAAGAACGCAAATTCGGACTCAACCACATTCACGCCGGGGCGCCGCTTCTACCGATCGGAGGACGGGCTCCTATTCTTCCTCGACGCGGACTTCCTCCCTCGGCTGTGCGTGCCGGACAGCCTAGTCCCACGTATTCTTCGCACAGCGCACGAAGAGCCAATGGAGTGCGCCCACGGAGCAGCCGCGAAGGTCTGGGCAAAACTACATCCGAAGTTCCACTGGAGGCACATGCGAAGGACTATAGACGCGTACTGCAAGTCCTGCGACGTCTGCCAGAAAGTCAAGTTCGACAACTTTAGGAAGTATGGGACGCTCATACCGAACCCGATCCCGCCGCAACCTTACGACTCAGTCTCAATGGACTTCATCACGGGCCTCCCCGAGTCGCGAGGATTCACGGGCATCTTCGTAGTAGTCGACCGTTTCTCGAAACACGCCCAGTTCTTGCCGATACCAGCAAAATTCGACGCGCAAGCAGCCGCGGAAGTCTTCGTGAGGAACGTCGCCACCCGATACGGCTTACCTTCCAGTATCATAGCCGATAGGGATCCTCGGTGGGTCTCGGACTTCTGGCAGGAAATGGCGAAGCTACTACAAACCAAGATGATGCTGTCGTCAGCCCATCACCCGCAGCACGACGGCCAAACGGAGGTGCTCAATCGCACTATCGAGACGATGCTGAGGGCGTACGTAGCCAGCGATACGACTCAGTGGGCCTCACTGTTGCACCTCCTCGAGTTCGCCTACAACTCGGCGGTACACAAGAGCACCGGAGAAGCCCCCTTCCGACTGCTGTTCGGGCGCATCCCAAGGTCGCCTTTGGACGCAGTATATCAGGCGAGGAGAGAGCCGACGGAACCGTACTCGGACAAGGACCTGCAGGACTACCTCGAGCAACTGGACATCGCGAGACAGGCGGCGAGGGACGCGATCGCGATGGCGCAAGAGGAACAGGCGAAGGCGTACAATAAAGGAAGGAAGCCGGCGCCCATATTCGAGGAGGGCGAGCGCGTGCTAGTCAACCCTCACTCTCTGGAATGGGTGGAGTCCAAAGGGAAGCCGAAGCTGAAGCAGAGGTGGATTGGCCCCTTCGAAGTCGCGCAGCGCATCAGCCCTAACACTTACCGACTCCACATGAACGACAAGTACCCTGGATTCCCCGTATTCAATATTCAGCATCTCAAGGGTTATCACGAGAACCCGCTTCCAAAGGATGAGCCAAGGGCGACGTTACCCGAGACGAGGGGGGAGGAAATGGCGAGCGAGGAATACGAGGTCGACAAGATCGTGGAGCACAAGTGGGACAAGAGGAAGCGGAAGCGGATGTATAAAGTCAGATGGGTAGGATACGGCCCCTTTTACGACACCTGGCAGTCGGCGAAGGACCTCAAGAACGCGCACGAGGTCCTCAGGAAGTACAAGAGGCGCTATAATCTATTGTAGGATCGAGCGGTTCGAACCCAGTGAGTCCTGGGCCGGCGGCTCCAGAACCGCACGAGGCGTCACGCGAGGCTAGCGCGTGCCCGCCTCGGAATAATACGCGATCAATTTCCTTCTCTTCCTCTCATTTCTCTTCCACCACTTGAAGAGGACGTAGTCGGAGCCGGCTGCCTCCTTTAGAGTCCTGCTTCTCGTCGGATTCGGCGTTTCGCGGGTATAACATGTCCTTCTATCTTTTCTTTCCCCCTGGCGCCGACGCTCCTCCGATCGCCGTCTACCACTTCGAGCACAACGTCACTTGGGTCGCGATAGGTGGAGACTACGACGCCCTCCTCAGGAGCCCCCGCTACGAACGCTTCCAGATCCCTTCGTTGCGCCAGGACCGGCTAGGACCACAGTGGCTCCTCCTTCCGTTCGTCTGGTGTCCGTACGCCCCGACCACGATTCTCTCGGACAAGGACCCGGTCGCGCCCGTCCTATGGAAGCCAGACGTCATGGAGCTGCAGTTCGACGAAGGCGCCTGTCGGGTCAAGCCGGAAAGGGCGGGAAGAATGCTCGAATGCGCGAAGACCTTCGCAGAGATCGGCGAGCGCCTCCGGACCAACACCCCCCTTCCCTTCTTCCTCAAGGACGGCGTGCGCATACGACCGTCCAACTTCGATTTCCGACGCATCGAGGAGGAGGGAAGGCCGGGTCAGATCATCGACCGCGTTCACGACTTCTGCGTGGCGGCACTCGATCACATCTCGTTCGTCGCATGGTACACGCTCTCTTTTAAAGGATACGAGGATGCGCTCAGCCCGCCGCAACTCGAGGTGGTGAAGCTCTGCCAGTTCGATAAGCGCCCGAAAAGGGGTTGCCTCCTCAACTTCCTGGTCGACTACACGACCGTCAACCTCGAGCAGTGGATACGGCATCGAGTCCCGGTCTACTACCTCTTCACGGAGGCCATGTCGTACGTCGACCGGTTCGTGCGCGTGCGGCCCGACGTTCTCCTAGACTACCGCGAACGGGCAGTGGCGGGCGCTACCAGTGAGGAACTGATCGAACACTACCGCGTCAACGAGCCCGCGGTCCTCGCCTACGACGACTTCTTCCAGATACGCCGTCCGTTGGCGCAGTCTATCCTCACCGACTCGCCCATCCCCATTTACGACCCGAAGACCGCCTACTCGGTCCAGGTCTGTCAAGGCTACCGGCCATACGCCGCTCGCAATCCCCCTCTCATCAAGTTACTGCTGCCGCGCTACGAGGCCGTCTCGCGTGGGGGGCAGTTCCCTCGAGTGGACATCGCCAGGTGGGCACCGAGGGCCATCGATGGGGGCGCGGCAGGAGACGTGTTCCTTATGGACAGAGGCCTGGACGACCCGACCACGACAGACGACCTCTTCGACGAGCACACGTTCGATATCAACTCGGGCTGGATCAACAACAACTACCTCACCTTACGCGAGCTCTTCAAGCCGGCCTTCGCCCCCAGGCCGGGCGAGTCGTACTCGCTGGATGGAAGTAGGGTCGTCTTCCCCGCACAGGCGGACGACTGGCTCAAGGAGTACGAGAGGGAGCTGGTGGCTAGAGCGGTGCACGAAGGGAAGCCTCGCCCGCGCGAGTACCAGGAGTATCATGACTGGGAGGTAGGATGGGGCGGAGAGATCGAGTGGGTCTACGAGGAAGTCATCAGCGGGCTGACGGAGAGCTCGGGAACGGGTCGGGCAAGGGGATCGACGGGCGCGACCGAGGATGTCGAGATGAGCGAGACCAGCGGCTCGGAAGAGGAGGAGGAATACTCGACGGCTCCCGCGACGCGCCCTCCTCTCGAACAACGCATCACTGACCCCGTCACAGGAGAGTCCGCCGCCGCTTGGCGACAGCCCTTGTCGGAGCGCATCGCCGCGCGGGAATCGATCACGGTTCGACGGGGGCGGCAGACCCGCTGGGAGGAGGAGAGCGAGTGCGGCTCCAGCACTCCGGCCAGCAGCGTCGCCTCATCAGGTCGCGTGTGGCAGGGTACGAGGAGGAGCGCCTCGCCCGTGCGAAGCTCGCGCCTGGCGGACCCCGGACGCGTCTCCAGCAAGCTCTACTCGCCAGACAGCAAGCGCTGGGAGGCGCTGTTGGAGGCCTTCAACCCGCAGCTAGAGGAACTGGGGCAAGTCTTGACTGCTCCGCGAGGCACGTACGTACGCGACGACGTCCGGCGCCCTCGATTGGACTGGGATAAGGACTTCGTCGAGAAGGGATTCCTACAAGTCCACCGCTGGCAAGACCGAGTCAGACTCATACTCTACGCCCTGTTCCACCGCTCCCTCCGGACGCCGATCCACTTCCTCGATTTCGTCCTCGAGAAGGGCATGAAGGTCACCTACCTCATCGCGAGGGACCCCATACCGACGATGGCGCAAGCCGGCTCGCGGGAGGAGCCCTCGACCACCCTCTTCACCCCTCTCGCCGGCTCCAGTCCGACGGAGGTCTTCAGGTTGTGGGAAGCGATCCTCAGCGGGCCAATGTGGGCGAAGACGCACTTCCCCGCGTTCTTGCAGGAAGGGGGCACGATCAGCTACGTTGTGCGCCACTACGCGAGGAGGTACCTGGACGTCGCGGGCGCGGGCGTGAGCGCCGAGACTCGAGTCTACGCACGCAACAGTCGGCCGCTACCGGCTGGCAAGTTCGGCAGCGACTACTTCGTGGTCAGCGACCAGGCCGGGGAAACGGAACTCGCCGTCATCGGCGGTCGCGTCGCGAACCAGCGCGACGAGCTCAACCCCTACTATGTGGTGCCTCCGACGGCCACGTTCGACTCGAAGGGATGGGACATCGGCACCGGCGAATGGTTGACGGCGGAGGAGGAGTACCTGAACGAGGTCATCCAGCGCTGGCGCACGGGGCGCGAGACTATCCTCCGTACGCAGGCGCAGTGGAATCGCCACGCCAGCGACTGGGCTCACCATTACAAGCAACGCCGGCCCCAGGAAGCGCGCAAGGAGGCTCTCCCGATGGAGAGCGAGTGCGAGCAGTGGTGCGCAAAGCTGGAGGAGGCCTACGGCATCTCGCTGGAGTACCGCAAGATCTCTGACCTCGCGAAGCCGTTGACGATCAAGAGCCTTCGCCAGTTTCGCTGAGTGGCGCGTCGCAGGCGAAGAGTGGGGGGCTTTGTGAGGCGAATGGGACGGACAGGAGGGACTCTTCCCCCGCAACGCGGCATGGACCCAGGGGGCTATCTTTTCTTTTTACCTTTCTCTTACTTACTTTAGGATACTTACGACCATCTCACTTACGACCGGATACGGACTCGATACGACTCGTACATACGCGGCGCGTAGCGCCTTAGATAATCGTACTTACGCACGTGGCGAGGGCGGCGCTGATCGGCCGCCCTCTACGAATATACGTTACCTTCTTCACTCAACCTACCCAGCCCTACTCGACGTCCCCGACGTATCGAGCAGGGGCCTTAGGTGCGAAGAGGCCCACCTCTACTAGATCGCAGACGCGGATTCGCGTCTGCCTGGGCACTGCCCGCTTCGGAGTCGAAGCGTAGCACGCCCGTTCTCAGTAGAGAACCACTTCGTCGCCTACCTCCCGCTCACGAGCATCCCCACGCGGTCGGCAGTCACCGCAGAGAGAATGGGTTTTTCTGGAGAAAAAAGCGAGTTCTGAGAGGTCTGGGGGGTTTTTGGGTAAAGACTAGAGCGCGGGGCTCATAACCTGTTGAGATGGGAGGGCGCAGACACAAACAACAGACCACAAGATGACGGTCAGAGACAAGGCTAAGTGACAGCGTGATACGTGACTATAGGTAAATATCCCCTTTTGGGCCGGTCCAAGCACACCAACTCCAACACGCCTACCCGCTCATCCCAAAGAAGAAGCGGAAGGGCAAGTTCGCCGACCGCGCCCGCCGGTGCATCCTCATAGGCTACGCTTGGTCTGAGGGCACAAAGGCGTACAAGCTCCTTGAGATCGCCACTCGGAAGGTCATCATCTCCCGGCACGTCAAGTTCGACAACGCCTCCCCCTCTCCTGACGAGATGCGCGCGGGCGAAGACGATGTGTCTGCCGAGCAGTGGGAGGACTTTGGCAAGTACTTCCGTCTGCCGCCCAAGGATGCTCCTGCACCAGATGCAGGCAGTGACAGCGAGGACAATGACGACGATGATGCGCCGGCCCAGCCACATGCAGCCGGGTCAGTGGGAGCACCTCGTCCACCCACGCCAGAGCCAGTGGGAGATAATCGCCCGCACTCCCCTGACTCGGACGGGCCACCGCCAGCTCCGCGTCCACCTAAGACGCGCATACCGCGCCGGTCTCTGCCACCGGCCATGCCACCGCCGGCTCCTGCCCCCGCCGCTGGTCCATCACGCCGCCCTGGCCTTCGCAAGCCAGAAGAGCGAACAGCGAACCAGCACAAGGACCAGGGCTACATCAATGCCCGGGAGCGGCAGGAAAACCACCGGAAGGTGTCTGCCCAGCAGTGGAAGCAGCGCGAAGCGAACATCCGCGCGCGCGAGCAGCAACTCGAGGACAATCGCCGACGTCGAGAGCAGCCGCCTCAGGCGGAAGCTCCTCCTCCACCTCCGGCACCAGCTCCCGAACCAGAACCTGCACCAGCGCCTACCCAGGGGGGTGGGGATCCCCCGGGCCAACCCGATGAAGAGGGTGAGTCAGTGAGCTTCGCTTTTCTCAATGACGAACTCTTCGCGGGCGCAGCATCTGATGGTCGGTCGAGCAGTGGTGCGCGGAAGATTCCCACCACTTGGAAGCAAGCCATGGCGAGCCCGGAGCGCGACAAGTGGTTGGACGCGCAGTCGGAGGAGTTGAACAGCTTCAAGCTGAACAACGTCTACGAGGAGGTACCCATCCCGGAGGGCGTCAAGCCGATCACCTCCAAGCATGTCTTCTCCTTGAAGGAGGATGCTCAAGGGAACATCGAGCGGTACAAGGTGCGCATCGTGGCGCGCGGCTTCACTCAGCAGGAAGGAGTTGACTACCAGGACACCTTTGCGCCCGTTGCAAGCCTGGAGTCCATCCGCATCATCCTTGCCCTCGCCGTCCGCCTCGGTCTTTACACTGACCAGATGGACGTGAACACCTCCTACCTCAATGGTGAGCTGCTACAGATGCTCTACATGCTTCCCCCGACTGGTGTGGACATCCGGGAGGGCTACTGCTGGCGACTCAAGAAGTCGGTCTATGGCCTCAAGCAGGCTGGTCGCGCGTGGAACCAGACGCTCCACAACAAGCTCGACAAACTCGGGTTTGTGCGCCTCAACTCAGAGACTTGCCTCTACATCTTCCGGGACGGTAAGCAGGTCTGCTTCCTCGTCGTCTACATCGACGACCTCCTCCTCGCCGCTACCTCGCGTCCTTTCATGGACAGCATCAAGAAGAAGCTCACTGCTTCCTTCAAGATGCGCGACTTGGGTCCTGCCAAGTACCTCCTGGGCATCGAGATCATCCGGCACCCGGGCAGGCGCACGATCTCCCTCTCCCAGAGGAAGTACATCGACACCGTGCTCGAGCGGTATGGCATGTCGGACTGCACGGGCGTCAGCACTCCCATGTCCACAAGCACTCGCATCTCCGCCAATGACCCGAACGATAACGAGGTGCACACTCATATGGCCTTGGTCCCCGGGGGTCCCGTCGTCTCCTACCAGAGCGTAGTGGGCTCGCTCATGTACGGGATGATGGGCACCCGACCGGATACCGCCTATGTGGTGGGGGTTCTTGGCCGCTATAGCGCCGCCCTCAAGGCTTGCCATTGGGAACTGGCCAAGCGGGTCCTCCGGTACCTCAAGAAGACGCGCGACTGGTGTCTAGTCTATGACGGTGCCGACGCTGGCATGGCAGCTGATGCTGTAAGGTAGATTTAAATCCACCCCGACAATTCACGTAACGTCGATTGTAATTTTTCACGACGTCAAAACGGCCCGATTCCCCCGCCCGGGCGGCCAGCCGCAGGCGCCGGGACCTGCCCTTATAGGGCTCCAGGGCCGTGATGCGCCCCGCGCGTGGCCGCCGCGGCGCGGGAACGTCGCGTGCGCGCCCCTGGGCGCGTCGGGGACGCGCCGCGTGCCACCGCCGCCGCCGCCGCGCGTTGTATCGAGTGCGAAAATGTATATAAACAATGTGTATGTGAGCTATAGACTACATATTATAAGGGGGCGGGCTGGAGAGAACGAAAAAGGGGGAAAAGCGCGAGCGAAAAATTTCGCTCGCGCGCGACGCGCTCCCGCGGCTTGTGCAGCACGCGAGAGCGTAGGAGGGTGGTAGAAAGGGGAAGGGAGATATCCCCCCCAGCTACGTGCACCCATTCGCGTCGAGGGACGCGTCTGTGGTGGTCACATAGCAAGGGGAGGGTGAGGGTGGAGAAGGGGGAGGGGGTCAGGATGTTGCCCATCCCCCTTGACAACAGCGCGTGTCGAGCGCGCTCAAGCATGCCTAAGCAATGCCTAGCGCAGCTCTTGCCGTGCGCTAGACAGCCAAGGGCGTAGAGCGACGCGTAGGGGGAGGGAGGAGGGGGAGGGTGGTTGTCAGGGAGGGGTCGAGCGAGCGCCGTCGGCCAGCGGCGGGAACGCCTGCAGGGCGTGTGAGGCTTGCAAATGACGCCCTTTCGTCAAGTGCAAAGCTCATACGCCCTCGACCGAGGGCCGAGGGCGGTGGGGTGGAGGGAGGAGGGGAGGAGGAGGAGGAGGGGAGCGGCAGACGCGTTTGCACGTCGTATGTGCCCCTGCGCTGTCCGCTGACTATGGTAGACATACATTAAATGAATGTAGTGAGAGCTGTGCGCGCCCACGCACCTCTTCCTCCCACTCGCGCGCCGCCATATCGCGGTGTCGTCTGGATTTTCCCTCCCTCGCGTGCGGCATATTTCTGGCGAATTTCTCGGATTGACTTGATCTGGAGGGCACGTGGTTTTGGCAATGGAATGGGAGGGGGCTTGAGAGGGGAGCGATGTGGGAGGGTGTGGCGAGGCGCGTGGTGGCGGGCGGAGGAAGGGGTAGCTGTCGTGATCGCGCGATACGTTGTTCCTCAGGACCGTATCCGTTGTTTTTCGGGACCGCGCGGAGGCCGGACCGAGCACCCGAGGCTCTTTTTCGTCGTCTTAAATGGCCTCGGAAACAGGCCAAACGAGGCGGAAGACCCGAAAAAAGTTTGAGAAAGACATCATTAGTAGAACAAAGTATATATATGAGCTTTGGAGAGGGAGGAGATACCTTGAAGCACTCGAAATCTTGCATATACCATCAATCCAAGCACTTTAGAACGCTTTCGCACGTTTTAGGCTCCATGCAGGTAACTTCCCGAGTCTTGGGGTACATAAGATGGTAGTACTACTCATAACCTACACATCCCAGCTTGTTCCAGGGAAATCGATGGGAAAATGAGCGATAAGCAGGCAATACGATGCCCGAAGAACACTCGAGGGGGGATCAGTTAGTCCTTGATGGGTCCCCCACGTCGAGCTCGATCTCGACACCTTGTCATGCTCCTAATCAAACGAAACTCACAGGATCGCGACTACTGTAAATCTAGCAATATATTTCGAAGAGATTGCGTGCGTATCTGCCCTTCGGGCTGAATCCGAGGCCCTTGAAAGCGACGATGCCACCGCAGAGAAGACGGGCCGGGAAGCCGGTCCGGTCATCCGAGGCGTGGAGGACGCGCGTTCCTCATCCTCAACCACCACCACGCCCCCCCCTCATTCGCCCCATCCCTCTCCGGCACCCCTCCCACATTCCCAAACCTTCCAAACACCTCGAATAGTCGCTCCCGAGGCGCACACCGGCAAGCACATCACAGAAGCCGACGCAAAAATGGCAACGACAACGGCCATTGAGCCGGACGAGGAGGCGGGTTTTGGGTGCGTGAACGCGCCCCGCTCTCTATTATATTACTAACCTATACTTGCTTGCGGCGTGGAGGGCGGAGAGGGGAGAGGGGAGAGGGGTGCGAGCAGGACAAGCGGGGCGAAGATCACCCCGCTTCCTGTCATATTGGCCCTCAGACCATGTCTGAGGGCGCGAGGACTTCGTTTATGACGCGGTACACGTTGTGAGCGAGCCCTCGACAGCCGTATGGCTGTCGCGCTGCCCTCGCGCTTGTCCATCGCGACCAGCGCGGACGGGTAGCACCGCTCACCCTCACAATGCACCTCCCCCTCCCCCTCTCCTGCAATTGCGGAGAATCCCCTTCGCGGCGATCTTCCGCATTGCGGGAGACGCATCTCGCGCATCTAGGCGACCATGTCGGTGCGCCGTGCACGCAGCCGACTGCACCCGGCGCGTGCGGCGTGCCGAAATGTCAGCTAATGCTGTACCATTATTACAATAGAACCCCGATAACTATCGTGAACTCTATTGTAAAGATTCCGATAGCTGGTCGGGCGGCTCTATTCTAATAATCCCCGACAGTGGCTGTCGGCAATTCCCGACCCACCCTCGGGCATTTCGGGACGGCCTGGCTCGCCGGGTTGGTCTCCGAGCTGCCTGAGGGGGGTGACTAGGACCGGGTTAGGCGCGCATGCGGCCGGTCGCTCGCGTTACGCCTTCTCACGCCTCGTGCGCTCTGCCGCTCGCGTCGCGTGCCCCGCTTGATGATGACGCATGACGGCATCATCGCCGCCGTCGCGGGCAGCGCTCGTTGTTCCACGTGCTGGCGTGAGCGCGCACGTCCTTCGAACAGGTGAATATATATATCATTCAAGATCAGTAAATACATTGTATATATGATGTGGGGGACGAGGAGGGGGTAGGAAGACCAGGCACGCGCGGCAGGCAACGCGTCAAGCGTCGCACACCGCGCGTCAAATGCGGTCAGCGGCAGCAAGCGCAAAAGCGCGTCGTATGCTCTGACCGCGGGTGCAGGTGCACGCCCATTCGCGACGCTTGAACGCGCTGCAGCGGAGCAGCAGCAGCGCGCGCCGCGATGGGGGAAAGGGGGAGGGGGTGAGGGGGTGTGGAGCACTGTGCCTGCGCCTCCTGCACGCGTAAGCGCGCGCAGCAACGTGTCAGGTGCATAGGCGAGACAGAGGGGGGGCGTGCGCCGCATGGAAAGCGCGGCTGGTGGTGGGTACGCGAGGGGAAGGGAGGGAAGGGGAGGGGCGAGGGCGATCAGGTGTGCCGCATCTTCATCCGGCGCCTCTTGTGAGATGCGCAGCAGCCTGATATGTGCGTCGGTGGTCGTGCGAGACGCGGACATGGCAGCCAGGGAAGGGGAATGGCGGAGAGAGGGCGAGGGCGACGAGGGCGATCACAAACGGCCGATCACCGTTTTGTTTGGTCATGTTGATCAGCCGGCGCGTGGCGGGCGCGCGTAGGCGCGCGTCGCCTGAGACAACATCTAGGGGACCCTCCAAGCCTCGCTACGGCGGAGGTGGCAGTGGCGGGTCCCCCCTACATTGCCTCAGGCGACACGCGTCTCAGCGCGCTCGCCCGGGTCGAATAACAGCAGAAACGAAGGTAGATCAGTAGAGAACGCGCTATAACACGTAGTACACGCACCTAGGCGGCTGTAGAGCCCTTTTATGTCCTCCTTTCGTTATTGCAGGATACCTGGAGAGCCCGCAGAGGCGGTCATGGTGGTGGGAGGAAAAGAACAATACAGAGGTGTCACGTCACATGCGCGTTGCATCACGGCACGTCCCCAGGAAGCGATTGAGTATATAATTACATCGCGGAGCTTCTGTCCGTGCCTCAACGTTTTATGCTAAAGTACACATACCATAAAATGAGAATCTGGGCTGAGATCTGTTCTGAGGGCATTGCAACATACTCAGATATGACCTGTTACCAGACACCCTTTGAACAAGAGTATATCACTGTTTCTACTTTATCCACATTGTATAAAAGTCTTGAAAATACCGAAGCTTACACTAGAAGCTTTCCCCTACACTATTCAGTTTATTCCAAAGAAATCCGAGAAAGTTCGACGGAGGGGGAAGGGAAACAAGGTCGAAGCGCCAGGATTGCAGAGTGGAGTGCATAGGTCTTCATGCACAAACCACCCCGAACTCAGGTTCGATAGGTTGTGGTAATCGTATCGGTACAAAACTTTCAGGATCGCGCGTATAGTAAATCTAGAAATATATTCTGCCTTCACTGCGACCTCAGACCTTCGACGGCATGAATCCGAGGCCGTCGACGTCGATGATGTCGACGCTCGGACATCGGACCGACTGTCCGGGCCGGTTCTCCGACGCGTCCAAGAACACGCGTCCTTCAACCACAACCCCCACCATCTCCCCTTCTGCTACCCCGCGTCGCATCCTACGCTTATATAACGACGACTAACACTCCTGAACACGCTAATAAGGCATCAAAATTGCGATCGCGGCCCGAAAAAAGGACGCACAAGCCGAACGACTACGGGAAGGCGCGAGGCGCGGGGGAGGGGGGAGCAGGTGCGTACGCGTACCCCTTGTACTGGAACACTACTAACAAATGTATTATAGCATTCTGAAAAGCAGGGGAGGGTAGCGCGCGGTCGTTATATGCGACGGCGGCAATACTCCTCCCCCGCCATATCTACCCTCAGACATCGTCTGAGGGCGCGGGATGCTCGCCGAGGACGCATATCGCGTCATGGACAAATCCCCTCTAGTCTTGGCGGCTGCCTGACCGCCCTCTGCCCTCCCCCATCACCCCACTTCACACCCTCCCCTCCCCTCCCCTACTTCGGCCCAACCCCATCGCCACTCATCTGATCCTGCCGGTCTGGCGGTTTCATGCGGAGTGACAGATGCGGCTGCTGTTGGGGGGAGGGGGCGCGACACAGCCTGCCGAGAGGTGCAGGAGTCAGCTGCGCCCTCGGCGTTGCTAGCGGTCGCGGCGAGCGCGCAGCCGTTCTCGCCCGACCTGCCGTCTTCCCCCTCCGCGCGCGCGATGGTAGAGGGCGGGTCAGACCTCCCTCTACCCACTGCTTCGCTTGTCTATGACGGGCTGAGCAGGGGGACGGCCGAGCGAGACTGATCGCGGGTCAGCGCATGCGGAAGGCGGAACGGAGGCCTTTCCCCTTCGTGCCACGCATGCAAGGTGGGGACGCGTGAGTGCGTAGAGGTGGGCAAGCAAAGCAGAGCGCGCCCGAGCAAATGCTCGCCGCGCTCCCTGCTTTTTGCGTTCCCTACGCGACCCCCTCACCCTCATTGTGGATTCGCATGCGCGGGGTAATCTCCCGCGTACAGAACGTTTAGTGCGCGCTCGGTGCGCATACCCTCCCCTTCCCCCACCCCTCGCGCACGCGCTCAGCGCTTTGGCCCTGTGCATATTCCTCGCTCTCACGTAGCATATCCATCGTCGTCTTACATACATAATATGAACCTTTTTTCTTTTCATCTTTTTGTACTGAAGGAAGCCACCCCGACGCGCGTGCCGCGTGCCGCGACGAGCGCGACTGTGGCGGCAACACGCGTAGCGATCGGCGGCACGTGGCGGCGGCGGCGCGCTGTCGGGAGAAGACCCCGAAAGCCGACGCGTGCCACGGGAGCATCCGCGAGCGGGGCTATGGCCGCCGCATGCGCACGCGGTCGAGCCGCCTGCGCCGCTCGGAGGCCTATCCGGCGAGCCAGGCCTGTTCGAGAGGCCCGAGGGTGGGTCAGGAATTGCCGACAACCACTGTCGGGGATTATTAGAATAGAGCCGCCCGACCAGCTATCGGAATCTTTACAATAGAGTTCACGACAATTATCGGGGTTCTATTGTAATAACGGTACAGCATAAGGTGGAAATGTCGCCTGCCGCGCGCCCTGCACCTCTTGCCCAACCCCTCCGACCCATCCTTCGATGGAAGGGTATGGGGCACTGGGGCTACGTCCTCCCGCGCCGCGTGCGTGCCTTGACGACGCGCGGGGCAGCCGAGGAGGCGCAGTCGCGCAGATCGCGGGCGAGTTCATCCTCCCCGCGGTCGTAGCGCGCCTGCGTGGCTGCAACGGGTGCTCACCTTCGGGTGATGCCCTCGCCCCCGCGCTGCTTGCGTGCTCCTGCCCTCTTCGAGAGCGCCGGGAGCGCGTAGCACCACCCTGACTACGACCCCCTCCCTCCCCCCATTTTGCTACGTGGCCACCGCGGACGCGTCTTTTGACGCGAATGGGTGCACGTAGCTTGGGGGGATATCCCCCTCTGCCTCCCTACCATTCACTTGCGCTCCTGTAAGGGGACCAGCCGGGAGTGGCCGAGTGGAGACGGTAGCGGAGACGAGGCTAACGTCTAGGCAGCCATGGTCCCCGGACAGCCACACCACCTAGAGGGAGGCGTGACGTCCTAGAAGGGTGAAGAGCGTCACGGTGGACGAGGGAGAGGATCGACGGTGATGGCGGGTCGTGACCGACGATAGAAGAGGGAGTAGGGTAGGGCGTAGCTTGGTAGAGAGAGGGAGGCAAGCGTACTGAACACCACTACGCAGTGGACCCATGCGTGAACCATACATGGGGGGTGCCCACGAGTAGGGTGCCCAGTAGGCAGCGCTGCCAGTGCCTACACGAGGTGGAGGGTAGTGACGAGGGGGCGGCGTCACTAGGAGAGTGGGAGAGGCGTATCGGTTAGAGACGCGACCGGTGGCAGTGATCGATGGAGGGCGACACCAATCAGAAGGAGGAGGGGGCGCGGTGCAACGCCGGGATCGAGGGGGGTAGCCTCGATTGGCGAGGTGGGAAGGGGGTGCACTGGGAAGGGCGCCGAGAGATGCCCTACGTCGGAGGAAGCGCAAGGAGCGGCGCTAAGACCAGACGTACCACGGCGAGCATGAGCTCCGAGCCAGTGGGGAAGGGATGACACGATGGGTGGCGGCATCGGTCAGGGAAGGGGGGTGCGACCAGGACGAGTGGCCGACGAGGCGAGGGGAGGTGAGCCCACAACGGGCCGATGGGAGCGGAAGGCCTGACGAGGGGTGGTACTCCCGAAGGTACACTTCCCACTGCTGCCAGGGGGACGACCGACTAAGCCGCACCGGGGGACGAAGGGGAAACACACCAGAGCGAAGAGGCGAGGGGTGCCACGGCGTACAGGGAGGGCCGTTCCCCGGAGTACTAGCACCACAACCGCTGCAGAGGCGCGGGCGTAGACCAAGCCTGAGGACGCAACCCAAACCAAGGGAGGCGGGCTCGCTAGGAGGCGGTGGAGGCAGCCGAGGGTATGGCAGGCCCAAGGCGGCAAGGAGGGGATGGGGCGATCATCGATGGGCGACGCCCACCGTAGCCAACAACGAGCGTTTCTGGATTAGAGAACTCCCAGAGGTTAACTAAGAGCCAGGCGTAGGGGCGCAAGCTAGGCGAGCGGGGAACCAAGGTATATTAGCAGGGAACAGTAACCAGTAAGTACCAACACACCTAGGCGAGCGGGGAACCAAGGAGATCAAACCCAAAGGATCTCCTGATGCCCACTGCCTGTATATATACTGTAGCTATAGTAATCAAGGGGATAGGAGATAACTACTACAGTCATCAGGTCACAAGATCGGTGAGTGATGATGGTGCAATAAGGCGCCATACAGTGGTGGTGGTGGGGGACAGGTAGAGTACTGGCAATGTCCAGGAAGGGGAAGGGATAAATAAGAGAAAGGGAAAGGGGGAGGTCACCAAAGGGAGAGGAGGAGAAGGGAAGTAGGAGTGCAGGGACGCTGCGGAGTGTACTTCCCCCGAACCTCGCTCGTTCCTCCCTTGGGTCAGTATGAGAAGCTCACGTATATTCCTTTTTGATCATGTACTTATACTTACGCGCCCTACGATGTACCTACGAATTCTACGCGGCCGCTTCGCGGCCTTAGACGTACACATTATATCAGACAGCACGAGGCGAGGCGCCTTACCGGCGCCTCGCGCCTAACGAATATCATCTCTTTTCTTACCTTCACAACCTCATCGCCTTCTCGTCGCCCAAGCGCGCCGAGTGAGGCTCGAGGGCGAAGGAGGACTCGAGAGGAGCCGCCTTGCACGCAGTCGTCTGGGCTGAGTACTCGCGCGTCACGCATTCGTGCCACGCGAGCTCCTTCTCATCGAGAACCACCTTGCCGCTCGGGCCCGCGCTCACAGGACCCCACGCGCGGACGCACGGTCGCCGCAAAGTGGACACTGTGGGATCCTGTAAGCGCATACTCACTCATACAAGCTGTATCCCTTCGCAGTCCGCAGGAGCACCAGGCTCGGCAGCAAGACACGCGCGGTAACCGCGCCGGTCATCCCGGCCCCGAACGCGGCGGGACGATCGGGTACCGCTGGACCTCCCCCTTCCCCCGCCAACTCACTCTCTTCTCTGACACCAATCTCTTCGTCGGACCCTAATCCCCTCGGCGTAGAGCACTTAGACGACCCCATCACCAACCAATCCCTCCTCGAGATTCAACCCAACCTACTCGAGGACGACATGCCGCAGGAGGACGATCGAAGGCAGGACGAGCAGGAAGTCGAACAGCAAGTTAGGGCACAAGACGATCGGGAGCGCGAGGAGCGGGACACGGCTCGAGGACGACTGGAGTTGGTGAGGGTCATGTACGAGGAGGAGATGACGAACGTGAGCCCCCTTCTGCTCCCCGATATGCGCTCACTGCAGGGACGAGTGCGACACTACGGCACGAGAGGCAACCTCCACCTCGAGGAGATCGTGGACTGCGGACGATCGGGGCCGGGAGGGGAACAGCGGTTCACTATCCGCGTCTCGGTCTTGCGCTCCGTGCGGGAGACGATTCGGAAGATGCAGCTAGTGCTGGACTCTCTGAGATCGGCAGTGCCCACGGAGAAAGGAGCCTACCAGATCGACCCCAGCGACGCCTTCCTCAAGAGACTGGAAGAAGCTCCCTCCCTCGAGGACCTGCAGCTCGCCTGGGTCGGCATTACGAACCGCATCATGAACTCCCGTCGAGTGTACGAGAAGTATTGGAGCGAAGCCATGCGCGCTTACGACCTCTCGAACGCGGACGCCATTTCGCAGCCGGCCTCTACCCCCTCAACTATCTACCGACAGATCGAACGCGAAGAAGACCCCGCGCGTCGCTTCCGAATCGCGCTAGGGGGCCTACCCACCGCGCGCGCTCAGGCGATGCGGCAGACGGGAGTGCCAGACACGCGTCGCTACCTCGACCAGCCCCTGGACGACCTCATCCACGTCGATACCCCCATCCGAGAAGCCTTCCCGCCGAGGGAGGAAGAGGATAATCCCCTCCTCATCTTTTACGACGACGTAGGAAGGAGACACGCGGTCCCACCGAACTCCACGCATAACAACCCGCTCGAGTTCAATCCTATGCCGCCACCCGTCGAGAGGGAAGAAGACCCGCCTTTCGTCGAGATCCGGAGAGTACCCAAGCCGGGAAAGAAGATGAAGGTCTCCCGCCCTTCCGCTTTCGGCCTGCTCGGACAGCGGGCGCTCGACGACGAGGAGGGCGACGACGACGACGTCAACGGAGAGGCAGGAGGAGCAGGCGCACCTCCCCCTCCTCCACCGCCGCCAACGACAAACGCAGGCGGGCAGCTTCGCCCTAGGGGGGCAGGACGCTCGCGGGCTATCCGTGGAGGAGGAGGCGGCGGTCCACCAGGAGGAGGAGGGAGCAGCGCAGGAGGCCTCAGGATCCCCTATGGGGAGACTGCCCCTTCCGTCAATCCGGTGATCAAGCCGTCCGACCTGCCGTCCTGGGACGGCAATAAGGATCGGGCCATATCGTACTTTGGAGCGATTGTAGAACTAGCGCGTAATGGAGGACATTTGCCACGAGCTCTGGGTGAATGGCTGTGGACTCGGTTGACCCCTTTTTCTTCGGTGCACCAGTGGTATCTCTCTCAGAGTGAGGCTCGTCGAGACCACATGAGATTGAGCTATCGTAACTACATCGACACGATCTGCGACCACTACTTGGGCCCCGCCTGGGTGGAGGACCTAGACACCACCTTCATGACGCAGCGGTTCCGAGACGCGCGACATCCGAAAGAGTCACCACAAGACTACCTCTACCGTCGCATCCAGTTGTCGAGGATCCTGGGATACGCAGAAGAGGATTCGTTGGCCGAGGCTCGGCTCCTCATGAGCAAGGCTCCGAAAGGGTGGAAGTTGGTCCTCACCTTTTCTACGGTGAGGTCGACGGACGAGCTCTCGGGGCGTATCATTGAATTCTCGAGTGATCTCCTCGACGTCTGGAGAAAGAACCGAGCAGCAGAGGCGGAAGTAGAAAGGGGTAAGGCAAGATCGGCGTGGAAGTCGTCTTCGCACTCGGCGTCCCTTCGGCAAGAGCAAGTGATGGACGCGGAAGCTTACTCAGACGACGAAGGAGGCTGGGAGGAGAGCGAAACCGCGCCGGCGAATGTGAGCGAGCGAGCCCCCGCCGCGGAAAGCAAGTCAACGGTCGGATCGTCTGACCTGGTCGCGGCCGCCTACACAGTCGCCAAACGGCAAGTCCTGAGGCGGCAGGCGACCCCGATGTTTCCGCCAGCCAACCACGTCCGCTCTAAAGGGAAGAAACCTCCGCCGGGGCCGTGCTTCGCGTGCGGCAGTCCCAACCATTGGAATAAGGATTGTCCGCATTGGGACGAATACCAAGAGCGCAATGCGCGGGAAGCACACCAAGCGGAGTGGGACCGAACCTCGCAGCTAGCGTATGACACCGCCTATGTGCTCATCGTCGAGCAGGGTTTTGACGGGGCGTCTCAACCCTCCCTGGTAAGGGAGGAAGAGAGTAAGACCCAGGACTTACGGGCGGAGGAGCCGACGAGGAGGGAGGTATTTATTGCGTCCACGCCCTGCTTTGTTCAGCGCGTGGAGGAAATCCACGAGGAGTACTGGCATCAGGGTGAATGCCTGCCGGTCGACTCGTTGTACGATCTTGAGTATATATACGCGGAAGCCGAAGATGACGCGGGGCTGGCGGACAGAGGCGTGAGGGAGGAAGTTAATCTCGCGGAACGGGAGATAAAGGACACGCCACCGACGGAAGCCTTCAAGGGGGAGTGGGAAGAGGATACGAACCGAGCTCTGGTACTGCCGAAGCCCTACGACCCCTCAGTCATACGTCTACGCCCGCGGAAGCCGCTACCGCGTCAACTGAGCAGGAATATATCGGTTCTCAGCGTGCGAGGGAGAGTAGGCGCGCGCGGGAATGCGACCATCGACCTGAGGTTGGACTCGTGTGCCAGCACCACCTTCGTCAGCGGGTCTTACTACGACAAGCTGCAAGGGCCGAAGCGGATCGAGCAAGGGGAGCCTATGAACTTGCTCCAGCTGACTAGCGACCACACGCCGATACGAGGAACAACGCGCCTGCCTGTCACGTTCGACTGCGACGATGGGTCGGAAATCGAAGTCGAAACGGACATGTATGTGGTGGACGGGATGACGGTGGACATCCTCCTAGGAGAGGACTTTCAGCAAGCGTACGAAATCTCGGTCAGCCGTTCGCAGGACGGCGGAGGGCAAACGGTGGTGACCTTCGGCGGCGCCAGGGAGCACCCCATCACAGCAGTAGGAGTCTCGCGCACCAAGGACTTCGAGAAAATATCCAAGTCATACGTAGGAGAGCTCCTCGCCCCCCGCTTCGCGAGAAGGGGGCAGTTCAAACGGATCCGGCGGCACCGCAAGAAGCTGAAGGAGCAAGCAAGGTTGGCCGACTCCCTAGTACGGTCGGAGCAGCAAGTCAGGCTTCCTCCGCACTCGGTAGTGAAGGTCAGAGTGAACGGGCCGTTCAAGGCAGACGAGGAATGGGTGGTGGAAAATTTGATGTTGGCGTCGGGCGAAGACCAAATTACCGCGGTTCCCAACACGATACTATCCTCCGACTCGCCGTTCATCCCGGTGGCGAACCCCTCGGACACGCCGCGTATGATTCGAGTGGGGGACGTCCTCGGACGCGCGGCCAAAGCGAGCGACTTCTTCGACCGACCCAAGGACTCCGCGGAAAGGGACAAACTTGCGCGACATGCAGCGGCTATGGCTCAACTATGCGCGCTGCAAAGTGAGGTCAGCCAGGGAAGGAAGGATGTCGCTCCCGACTTGCACATGCCGGACAAGGAGCACTACGAGGAATGGAGGACGCGACCCGAACCCGCGAAGGGCAAGTTCCACATGCCCGAAGCGTCAGGTTACGAAGCTTGGGCTGGACGGAAGCAAGAACGTACCGCGGAGGAGGAGTCTTCAGAGGCGGAGGATTATGGGCCAAAGACCGCCGCCATGCCCGATCCGAGAGTCATCTCGAGCGAGGAATTCCGCCGCACACTGGACGTAGGCGCGCTGCCCGATCATCTGCGAGAGCGCGCCTGGGACATGCTAGAAAAAAGGAAAGGGGCCTTTGGACTGGACGGGCGCCTAGGCAACTACCCGGCGAAAGCCACCATTCGACTAAAGGAAGGACAGACCCCTATCTCGGTGCCCATGCACAGCGCGTCGCCAGCCAAGAGGGAAGTCATAGACGAACAGATTGACAAGTGGTTTGAGCAGGGCGTCATAGAACCTTCGCGCAGCCCGTGGGGAGCCCCAGTAGTGATCGCCTACCGCAACGGCAAAGCACGATTCTGTGTAGATTATCGTCGACTCAACGCCGTCACGGTGCCGGACGAGTTCCCCATTCCACGGCAAGCGGATATCCTCTCCTCGCTTTCGGGTTCACAGGTCCTTTCCTCGCTAGACGCCCTGTCCGGATTCACCCAGCTGGAAATGGACCCGAATGACGTGGAAAAGACAGCCTTCCGTACGCACCGCGGGCTATTCCAGTTCAAGAGAATGCCTTTTGGCTTGCGGAACGGGCCCTCGATCTTCCAACGCGTAATGCAATCGGTCCTCTCGCCTTACCTATGGTTATTCGCGCTGGTCTATATCGACGACATCGTGGTGTACTCGAGATCCTTTGAAGAGCACATCGACCATTTGGATCAGGTACTGGGAGCAGTCGAGAACGCCGGCCTCACGCTGTCGCCCTCCAAATGCCATCTATTCTACGACTCCATTATCCTTCTGGGCCACAAGGTATCGCGACTGGGGCTCTCGACTCATCAAGAGAAGGTTAAGGCGGTGCTTGAACTGGCGCGGCCGACCAAACTGTCGGAGCTCCAAACCTTCCTAGGCATGACGGTTTACTTTAGCGCGTTCATCCCCTACTACGCCGATGTTTGTTCACCCCTACACCGCCTGCTCAGGAAGGGCGTCGCGTGGGATTGGGGACCTGAAGAGGAGTACGCGTTCCTACAAGCAAAGACCGCGCTGCAGCGGGCACCCGTGCTGGGGCATCCGCAAGAGGGGAAGCCCTACCGCCTATACACAGATGCGTCAGACCGAGCGCTGGGTTGTGCCCTGCAGCAGGTACAGGCGATCCGGATCAAGGACCTGAAAGGGACGAAGCTTTACGACAAACTGAAAAAGGCGCACGAGGAAGGGCTTCCACCCCCCAGGCTGGTCACAAAGCTATCCGAGAAGGTCGATGACGCAAAGTGCGCGCAGAATTGGGCGGCGCCCTTCGAGAACACGGAGGTCTACGTGGAAAGAGTCATCGCTTACTGGTCGCGAACTTTCAAGGGCGCGGAAGAACGATACAGCACTACGGAACGGGAGGCGCTGGCGGCGAAGGAAGGGCTAGTACGATTCCAGCCATACATCGAAGGCGGGTCCATCCTGCTCGTTACGGACCATAGCGCCCTGCAGTGGGCGAAGACCTACGAGAATAGCAACAGGAGGCTAGCGACATGGGGGGCGGTATTCTCCGCCACCAGTAGAAGGAGGTAATACGCAAGTGCCATGGCTGCAGCCACTGAAGCCAAATGCATTTGGCATGGCTCTAGCCACTGGTGGCTGGTGCCACTGCAAAAACACAAAACTTCGGACTTTGATCAAAAATTTCAAGTTGAAGAAGGGTAGGTTAGGAGGGTTAGGGGTTGGTTTGGGTTGGTTAGAGGTTAGGGTTTGAGGTTAGGAGGGTTAGGAAGGTTAGGGAGGTTAGGAGGTTAAGGTTTGGTTAGGGTTCAGGGTTAGGGTTTTGGGTTAGAAGTTTGGGTTAGGGCCAGGGACGTCATATCTGTCTCGTTGTCTCGTTGGTTAGAGGTTAGGGTTTGCCAATAAGGCTCATTCAGAGTGGGGATGGTTAGGAAGGGTTAGGGAGGTTAGAAAGGTTGGCTAAGGGAAGGTGATATAGTGCAACATATCTGCTAGCTAAACAAGATCCAATGGCTTAGCTGGTTAGAGCACCACTCTAACTGGACAAGGTCTGGAGTTCAAACCCTGCTATGTTTGCTCTTGATTTGCAACATTTTTAAGCAGTTTCTGATGGCATCTGCTGACAAATCTGTCAGTGATGACTCAGACAGTGCCTAAATAGGTTGCAAGTTACCATATATGGCAGTTGGGAGCAATGCATTTGCCAGTGGCAGCAGCCACCAGTGGCTAGAGCCATGCCAAATGCATTTGGCCTCAGTGGCTGCAGCCATGGGCATTTGCCTCGGATTTCCTGCTACGGCTCTCTCCGCGTACATGCCCGGGCTCGAGATTATTCACCGCCCGGGAAGGACCCATTCTAACGTGGACCCTTTAAGCCGAATTCCGAGAGACCCGCCAGCCAGCGTATCGCCAGTCGTACGAGATGGTCCGGCCCTTTCCACGGACGAAGCGACAGCTGTATTGAAGGAGGAAGCGGCTCGACGAGCACCCGCACCTAAAGCCTTCGAGGCGGCGTATTTAGCGGACTGTTTGGAATGGGCTCCAGAGGCGTTCGCGACGACAAGGGCGGCCGCTCGACGTCTAGCTCGCGAGGGGGCGGGAGTCCAGGCCACACAAGGAGCGGACGAGCAATTTACCCCGTCACAGAGAGACCAGCCTCAAGACGAGCGCGAGCCAGCCGCCGAAGCGGAAAAGGAGCCGCGAGGAGAGGACCAAGGACAGACGGCGAACAGGAGCGAGGACAAAGACGACGGCACCGACTTAGGGGACGACGACTTCGTGCCAGGGAAAGGGTACGAAGGAGTATACAAGAAGCTGCCGGCCATCCTGCTGCACATGGACGAGGACGAGAAGCAGGGATTCGTGGACGCGTACAAGACGGAAACCTACTGGAAGACGAGATGGGAGTCGGCCAACACGAGCGCCGAAGGAGTACCAGGTCGACGCTATCACCGCACGGACGACGGCCTGCTCTTCTTTATGGACGCCGACTACCATCCCCGGCTGTGCGTCCCGGATCGACTCGTACCAAAGATACTCAAGATAGCTCACGAGGAGCCCATGGAGAGCGCACACGGAGGGCCAGCCAAACTGTGGGCGAAGCTCAGGAGGAAATTTTACTGGAAATGGATGGGACCGGCAGTGGAGAAGTTTTGTCGCTCGTGCGATGTCTGTCAGAAGGTAAAATACGACAATTTCACCAAGTACGGAACGCTAGTACCCAACCCAATACCCCTCTCGCCCTACGACTCGGTCTCGATGGATTTTATAGTCGGCCTCCCGCTCTCTCACGGATTCTCGGCCATCCTCGTCGTAGTCGACCGCCTCACTAAACACGCTCAGTTCATCCCCGCGCCGCCGGACGTCAACCGCATCATCACCGCCGAGTTATTCGCCAAGAACGTCGTAGCGCGCTTCGGGCTGCCTAATAGCATCATCGCTGACCGGGACCGGCGATGGGTCTCCGACTTCTGGAAAGAACTGGCGAAGCAGCTCAAGACCAAGATGATGCTCTCCTCCGCGCACCACCCTCAACACGACGGTCAAACCGAAGTCCTCAACAAGCAGCTGGAGACTATGCTGAGAGCGTACGTGGCCAGCGACCCAACGCAATGGGCGGCAATACTCCATCTACTGGAGTTCGCCTACAATGCGAGCGTGCATAAGTCGACAGGAGAGGCTCCATTCAAACTCCTCTACGGCAAGATCCCGCGCTCTCCGTTGGACGCCGCCTTCGAAGCGAGTACCGAGCCAGCGGCAGTCATTGATAGGGACGCGCAGGATTTTCTCGAAACGTTGAAGAGGGCAAGAGAAGCGGCACGAGACGCCATCGCGGCAGCACAGGACGAGCAAGCGAAGAGTTACAACAAAGGGCGGCGCCCCGCGCCATTCTTCAAGGCAGGCGAGAGGGTATTTGGTAAACCCCCACTCGCTCGAATGGATCGAGTCCGACAATAAGCCGAAACTGAAGCAACGCTGGATAGGACCCTTTGAAGTGGCGCAAAGGATCAGCCCAAACACGTACCGACTTCATATGAGCGACAAGTACCCCGGCTTCCCCGTGTTCAACATCGCACACCTCAAGCGCTACAACGAGAGCTCGGTGGGAGACCAGGTCAAGCGAGCGCAGCTGCCAGAGACACGAGGAGACGCGATGGACGGCGACGAGTTCGAGGTCGAGAAGATAGTCGCGCACAAGTGGGACAAGCGCAAGAAAAAGAGAGTGTATAAGGTGAGATGGCTGGGCTTTGGCGAGTTCTACGATACTTGGCAGACCGAGGCGGATCTACGGAACGCCGACGAGTACTTGCGAAGCTACAAGAGAAATCACGGCCTGGCCTAGCGCAAGGGAAGCGAACCGAGGTAAAGACCGCGCACGCCCTAGTCCGATTCGCATCGATAAGGCGGAGAAGGCTCGGCCAGGTCGCCGTTCTCACCGCTGCGCACTCTTGCCTCTCGCGCTCATCTCCAACCGTTCCTCCCTCCTCCGCCCTCCGATTCCTCTGTGCATACCTATTTTCACTCACCTACTGTTCCCCCACTCGTACGGGTCATTGCTCGCATTCGACTTTGCACCCCTCGAGTCCTGCTCGTCGCACGTATTCGTCTGCGAGCAGGTTATTATGAGCCTTTTCATCTTTCACCACGACTCAAGGGCTCTGCCCAAGCCTCTGGACGTACGACGCACCCGCGGAGAGCGTTGGGTGATCATAGGCGGGCGGATCGAGCTATTGGGACCAGGACCGCGGCGGGATCGCCTCGACGACGCCGCGAGCAGGCGCCTGGGAAGAGGTCCGCGATGGCTGTTCGCTCCCTTTGTGTGGCGCTGCTACATGGCGATGTGCTCGATCTCCTCCGACGACCCGCTCGACATCCTCTTCATGTCTTTTTCGCTCAACAACCTCGTCTACGAAGGGGGATCGACCAGGATCGACGACGATCACGTCGATAAGCTCACCTACTGTGCGGATGCCTTCGAAGCCATGGTCGAGGCTCTGCGAGACTCCGCCCCCGCCATCTTCCTCCTCTACCACGGCTCGCAAGTGCGCCCCGCACGCTGCGACAAGGAAGGATTGGCGCGGGAAGGTCGACCGGCATCCCTCCTGGACCGCATCTCCCAATTCCAGCTCGCAGCTCTGGACAACGCGGCCTTCGTGGCGTGGTGGACATTGTCCTTCAAGGGCTGGGAAGCCGCTCTCGAGGAATGGCAGGTGGAGATGGTCCGCAGCTGCGCCTTCCGCTCCCGAGAAAAGGCGGGCTGCTTCCTGAACCTTTCGACGGACTACTCGCTGGCCAACTTCGAGCTCTGGATCGATCATGGAGTACCAATCTATTTTCTGTGGTCGGAGGCGCTTCATCACGACAAGCGATTCTCTCGCGCGAACCCGGACGTGCTGAAGCAGTATTGGGACCTGCGCCAGGCCATCGAGGACGACGAGACCTTCCACGCCGAGGCCAAGGCGCACTTCCTACGCACGGACCGGGCGGGAGTCTTGCAGTACGACAATTTCTTCCAGGATCAGGCGATGAGGAATTTGTTCATGAACATGGAGACCCGCTCCTACCAGGAGGGAACGACCTACGTCCTGGAGGCCTTCCAGAACTATCGCCCCATCCGCCTTCGTGACCGCGAGATGATCGAGAGGTACCTTGTCCACTACGAGGCGATCGCGCTACCCAACTCCTCCCCGCCTACCGTCGCCATCATCCGTTGGGCCCCGCGCGAGCCGTACCGAGGCCAACCAGACGAGGAAGGATACACGGTGGACTACGGAGCGTGGGAGTATGAGGAGGAGCTTCGTTTTCAAGGCCGCGCGTTCGACAAGGAGTCCGGATGGTTCGTCAACGACATCCTCGTCCTCAGGGAGCTGTTCAAGGTCGCCTACGCGCCCGAGCGAGGAGAAGCTTTCATGCCCGACGGGACGCGTCTGCAAGACCCGCTCCTCCCCGACGCCGAGTTCGATTTCGTCGCGGCGTACGAAGCGCGGGTGATCCAAGAGGCGGTGGAGGATGGGAAGGAACGACCGCCCGACCTGCGAGAGTACTACGAGTACGAGCTGGCCGACTGGAGGGAGAAGCAGCGTGTCGACAAGGAGAACGCGGATGCCACCATCGCGCGGTTGGGCGGCGACCCTCTTGGGGAGAGTCCTCTGCACCTCGGCAACGTGATGGAGGAGGACCCGGCGTGCATCCCTCCTCCGACTCCACCGAATATTCAGGAGATGCCCGAGCTACTCAGGCGGATGGTCTTCCCCAACTGGAAGGCGGCGCGCACAGGACCGAGCGAGGATCGAGTGACGAGGCGCAACGGGAGCAGCTTTACCAGGCGGGACGCCTCAAGAGGCGCCAGTTCCTCGACGTCCAGCCGTCTCGTGGCCACTGCGTCACGTCGCAGTGCTTCCCCCTCGAGGGGACCTACCCGTCTGGCGGATCCAACCCGCCTCTCGACGCAGGTTTTCCGACCCAACGACCCCGAGTTCGAGGATGTCCTGTCAGAGCTCATCGACCAACTCGACCTCATGTTCAGCATAATCGCCGAGCCAGCCAAGAGGCGAGGGGACGATGAGCGGGCTCCGAGAATTGGTTGGGACAACGAGGTCATCGAGAGGGCCTACATCCACTTCCCCGAGCCGCTGGACGCCCTGCGGGTCCTTCTCTACGCCTTATTCATCCGCGACATCATCACTCCAGCGCGAATGCTCAACTACATCGTCAAGCACGGTATCAAATTCCGTATCTTCCTGCCGCGCGACCCGATTCCGGCGCCCTCACGCGGGCTCAGCCAACCTCGCCCTTCCGGGATGCGCGCCTCTCACCTGCATGGCCTCACGGGCGACACCCTTTTCCAGACCTGGGAGGACGCGATGAACGGACCCTTCTGGGCGAAGACTCACTTCCCCGGATTCATCCAAGAGGGTGGAACGATTGGCTTCTTGGCGCGACACTACGCGACGAACAAGCTGAGGCGCGAGGCGGGCTTGGGCGTCAGCATGGAGACGAGGATCTTTGCGCGCAACTCGGACTTCCTACCGGACTCAGTCGAGACCTTCCAGGTCGTACACGACGACGTAGGGGCGGAAGAGCGAAGCTTCGCTATCGGGACTCTGCCGCCTATAGAGGCGAACGGCAACCCTCGTCACATGCTCCCGCCGACACACTGCTTTGAGCACAAGTACTGGGACTTGGGTACGGGCGAGTGGACGGACTGGGAGGAAGACTACCTCATCGACTTGCTAAACCGTTGGAAGCTGGGAAAGGAGGTCCCGAGGACGGCGGAAGGGTGGGCTGGACACATGCGAGTGTACCGCAAGAACCTATCCCGCAATCGTTCACTCAACGGCCGCGACAAGAGATGCCCGGGGTCGACAGAAGCCGCGCAATGGTGCCGCATGCTGCGGGAGGTCTACGGATTTTCTTTGAAGACGAGGAAGATCGCGACGCTGACGGACGCGCCTGAACCGGAGCGCGTGCGCCGCTTCCAGTAGTTGGAGCGAGGCTCGGTGGAGTGGGGGGCTTTGCAGGGACGCTGCGGAGTGTACTTCCCCCGAACCTCGCTTGTTCCTCCCTTGGGTCAGTATGAGAAGCTCACGTATATTCCTTTTTGATCATGTACTTATACTTACGCGCCCTACGATGTACCTACGAATTCTACGCGGCCGCTTCGCGGCCTTAGACGTACGCATTATATCAGACAGCACGAGGCGAGGCGCCTTACCGGCGCCTCACGCCTAACGAATATCATCTCTTTTCTTACCTTCACAACCTCATCGCCTTCTCGTCGCCCAAGCGCGCCGAGTGAGGCTCGAGGGCGAAGGAGGACTCGAGAGGAGCCGCCTTGCACGCAGTCGTCTGGGCTGAGTACTCGCGCGTCACGCATTCGTGCCACGCGAGCTCCTTCTCATCGAGAACCACCTTGCCGCTCGGGCCCGCGCTCACAGGACCCCACGCGCGGACGCACGGTCGCCGCAAGGAGATATAAGGGAAACACACCAGGGATGAGTCATAGGTGATGACTGATGGGGGTGTAAACACATGCAAATGCCATCAGTACCATACACCAAACAAGACCAAACCGATTGAAGACCAGTCACGCTTGTGGGCGCTTGTGGGTGGCATGGATATCCCCTGACAGCTCCCGCGCGCTATACAAGCGGCGGGAGCGCGTCGCGCGCGGGCGAAAATTTTCGCTCGCGCTTTTTCCCCCTTTTTTGCTTTTTCTACCCCTCCCCCTCTCAATTCGTAGTATATAGGACTTTAATATACAGCTTTTACATCTTTTCGCGCTCGCTACGACGCGCAGCGGCGGCGACGGCGACACGCGGCGCGTCCCCGACGCGTCCGGGCGCGCGCACGTGATGCTCCCGCGCCGCGGCGGCCACGCGCGGGGCGCATCACGGCCCCGGAGCCCTATTAGGGCACGTCCCGGCGCCTGCGTTGGGCTGCCCGGGCTCGGGAATCGGGCCGATTTCACGTCGCGAAAGATTACAATCGACGGTACGTAAATTGTTGGGGTGGATTTAAATCCACCTTACTGCAAAAGGTGCGGCTCGTCATCGATCTGCATCTTCGAAGAAGACGCACGCGGAGTGGGAAAATCGTCGGTACAGTCCATATTGACGGGGAAACCACCAGCGTTGACGACTGAGTCGATCTCGCGATAGATCTCAGGAGTGACTTGAAGGTCAAGCTCCTTGGCGGTGGCGAAGACGTTCTTCGCGCCTTCCGCGATGGGGGTGTCGGCGATTGCCTTATCGGCGGCGACAGCTGGCTTCTCAACCACCTGACGGACCTTAGTCCCGGCGGGAGTGATGAGGGTGACGGGAGACGTCTTGACATTCTCAACAGATGGAGTGAGTGCCGAGATGCGAGCAGATCCGACGACCTCAGAGATCGTGGCATGCGCATGCGCGTGCTCAGGCTGCTTCCCCTTCCCCTTGTCCTTCTTGTTCTTCCCGCCGCGATGGCCGCGTTTGTCCTTCTTCTTCTTCTCAGCCTTATCGCCACCATTGGGCGCAGAGTTTTCACTCTGTTGCTGATCAGAATACTTTGGATCATCGCGCTTGCGCTTGACGTTGGAGAACTTCTGGACGTAAGAGCCAGACATCGTCTGCTTGTGGGAGTAGTGCGTAAGAAGCGCCTCTCGGACCACAGCAACAGTAAGATCACTTTTGTCATATCGCTGAAGGATAGACTCGGTGATAGACTGTATACCAGCGACATGCAGGAGAATCATTGCCTTGAGCAACTCAGGGATGACGATCTCGTCGGCAGCGAGCCGTGCAAACGTGTTGGTGACGACGTTGATCTGGGGATCAGGATGCTGACCGCTATTGAACTTGGCGTTCAACGCCGTCTGGAAGAACCCGAAGAGGTCGGCAATCTGAGTGCTGCCATACTCCTCCTGGAGATATTCAACCAGCGACTTTGCGGTCTCCATCTTGTCCGTCGGGATGCTGCTCTTGACGTTAGGCGAGAGGCGCAATTTAATGCTGCCCCTGACCTTGACGTCGTCGCGCTTCCACGACGTGATGTCGTCTTGGTTGACGACTGTGCCCGCGTCGTTCGTCCGAGGAGAAGGAGCTTCTTCCTCAAGGACGTAGGCGAGCCCTTGGGCTTCAAGCCACGACGACATGCCATCCACCCATTGGGTGAAGTTGTTCCCCTCGAAGAGGAACGTGGCCTGGTAGAGCGAGTTCGACATGATCTGAATAGATCGTCAGCATCAGATCGAACATCATAGTGGCGGCCAGGAACGGCGCCAATGAGCGAATCGAGCATGATGCCAATGGCCATCGTCTCCTTCAGAGACGGGTGCATCGGATCAAGCGTGTAAACGCGATCCGGCATGGTGTCACCTGCGCTTAGAGCGGCATGGTGACGGCAAGCAATGAGGGTGCTCGTCATTGCAGCCAGTGACGGCGCTAATGACTTGTGTCGCAGCCACAGAGGGCGCAGACACTGTGCCGCTGCCAGCAAGGGCGCAGGCACTGCTCACCAGGGCTCATAACCTGTTGAGCATGCTGGGAAGCGCACCACTCAGCTTACCTGAATATAAGAGAGAGCTTAGCTAGAGGCTATGCGCAGAGTAGGTGAAGACCTTTTATTACAGGGGCAGAGGAGCCTCCTTATATATGTACAGGGAGGCGACGATGTCATACGTAGTAATATACAATGAGTCAAGAGGACTGCAGACGCTGAGTAAAGCGTACATGTGACAAGTCCAGCATATGTGTCCATGTGTGTCCATCTGAGTCATATGATGCGCATGTGGCGCAACGTGACATGTCGTGACTAGGCCGAATGTTCAACAGGAGGAACTGAGGCAAACACATGCAGCTGGGCAAAGACTGCCTTGTCATGACGGGAGAAGAGGATCGTGATATTTACTTCTTCTTTGACCAGGTGAAGAGCGAGAGCGTCTGATGATGGGTGTGTGTGACTGAGCAGCGGCTTCGCCCAACAGAATAAGCAAACCGTGGGTCATTTGCTAGAGCAAGCCTACCTCATTGGGATCGTATGCGGGGAGTGCTGCGTGAGAGTGGTGGCTTGGCAGAGACTGTGTTGGCAAAGTAGAGTGCGAGAGGAGGAAGTAAGCGCCTTCTGTTGACTTTGGCAAAAACCAGCTAACAAAGGAGGACAGGTGTTAGAGGGTTTGAATAGGACACGCAGCATCGAGGATTGGATTGACGCATGCAAACGAGGCGCCGAGTAGCTAGTCCTGTATGCTAGGGGACAGACGCCGCCCATGAAGAGCAATGTAATTGAGGAGCTGACATAATAACAGAGGAACCGGTAAAGAAATCAATAAACCCGGCGGTGCGCCGGTTACCTCGGTGAGAGACACCCGGACAACAGACTTGGTCACCGTGACCGTTCCAAATGCGGCACGTAGTCTCGCCATCATTCGCCATCATTCGCCGTTTTGGTAGACTCGAGCCAGTCCCCGCTCCGCGGAAGCCGAGGTCAAAGCAAGCTGATACTTGCCCGATTAGAAGAGCGGAGCGGGGACTGGAACATCTCGAGCACTTTTTGGACAGTCGAGCTTTTTCCCACGATTTTGTGCGACTTAGCGAAATTCTGCGCGTTCTCGCCGCCAAACGACCCGTGTCAGACGCGTCGTCAGCCTCAATCGCTGTCTGTTCTCGCGCTCTTAGACCTGATTGTAGCCTACAGGACCCTGCTCTGGCATAGAATCACGCTTCACGCTGCATTCATTATATCTTCCTTTGCAATACAGTACACTCGAATATATGCACCCATGTTGCCGAGCCTGAGTTCATAGCGCGCGACGACGCGACTAATGACAACGACGACGCTCGTGAGACGAGCCGAATCGGCAGCTACAGGATCACGGGAGGTGGCAGGGCTGCGCTGGTGATTGTTCACGGCCGCGGCGCCGCATAATGGTGCCAGCGGCGGGGGGATGGGCGAAGCGATCGTGGTGATCTTGGGCGATGGATAGTTGCGATTTGGGATCCTGTATAGCCAGACCGAAAAGAGAGAGACCGCCGATAGTCCAGCTTGAATATCACGCGGGTCGGCGGTCAGGCAGCCACGCTTCACCGCGCGCTAGATGCTGCCACAATCGAAGGGCGGTCAGTATGACAGAGCGCGCGATTGAGACATTGCCACGCACCTCAAAGGGTCCCCAAAGCCTATACGCTCCCCCTACGCACGTACAAGTCTGCTGAGCCCGAGAAAAAGAAGAGAGCGGGAAAGTGATGGACCTTCAGACGCGCCGCGCTGATGCTAGCCTGCGCAAAGACTGTCACTAAGACAGCAGCGTTCACGAGCCGTACGCCGGTTTTGAGGTGTCGAATGCCATCGAGGACCATACTGTCAAAAGTGGTGTTTAGTGGCGAGTCTACCTTCAGCCAGGTCATGTGACCTCAACCCTTGGAACTGCTTATGTAAGTTCCAAGAGTTGAGATCACATGACTTTTCCCCACGCTTTGCCCGGATGGCCCCGTACATACGCGTGTACCTACCTTTCCTTTTCCCTCAGTCGCTATCCTATACGCAGGAAGACTGAGGGTATGTCTTTTACTTACTTTACTCTCACTTATACTGACTGTACTTTAGTCTTGCGCTCTCTGCGCTTATTTAGGTATGAATTCAGTCGCTATCCTATACGCAGGAAGACTGAGGTCTTGCGCTCTCTGCGCTTATTTAGCTCGTGAAAGGTTATGAGCCCCGTGGCCTAAATCGAGCAAGACTTCGATCTGCGACTCACTCTATCCCACTCTGCGCCATGGCTCCCAAGGACAGCAAGGTCCCGACGCTCACCGATGCGGCGGACTGGCCGCTCTGGCGCCTCCGGGTCACCGACGCCCTCAACAGGGACGATCTCACCTCCGTGGTGACTGGATCGGAAAAATCCCCTCCCCCTGAGATCGCGGTGACTCCACCGACGCCGACAACGTCCTCTCCCCCGTCCACGTCACCCGGCGCTCCGGCGACCACCACCGCATCCACGGGATCGGGC